GTAGCTGTAAGCACAAACATGCTTGTTTTGTTTATTTAACCAAGCAATTACAAGCTATCCCATGCGCTGATGCCATGTTCTGTTACTCAGTGCTAGCAACAGTAGAAAGTTCCCTTTGAGGCTGATATTTCAGCGATTTATGTTCTATCGGCTGGTCAATTAATCACCAGTCCTGGGCTCACCGTCACTACTAGGTTGATGGCGCTCATTTTAATTGTGCAAATATGTTTGACATTCACTTGGTAGTGCTTTCATTACAGAACTGTATTTTCCGCCTTTCCATTTTAAATCCTAGGTGGCAGAATAACATTTTGCTTAATTCCAAGGATAGCAGAAATACTAATTGCTTGATATTAGTTGGAACTGAGGAATTGTTGCTGGGCTTTCTTGTTCCTGAGCTGCAATAACTGAAAACATTTGTTCTTCAAAATTGGGATTTTGATAAAGGAGGACAACCATGACTTTACATCATGACCAGCTTATGGGTTGGTAGGCCCTCATTAAAAAAAGAGGAAGAAGAATATGGTGAAAGGATGAAAGAAACTGGCTATTTGGGATAAGGTAGATGTTGAGTGTAAAAGGAGAATGGGTTAAGAAATTAGAGGAAGTGGGTAATATTTTAAGAGGCACGTGGGGGTGGGAAGGGAACTATTACACACAAACACATACCTTCCCCACGTAGAGGCTCTTGAGCGAAAATTCTGCCAAAAGTGTGAAAGTAAAGTATTCTAATCATGAAATTGGCTGCACACACATACACCATAGAAATTAATCATTTTCCCCCTCTATCAACTATCTGCAGCTTTTCAGTTTAGAATAATAAAAACTCTACAGTGTTATTTTTATGTCTGATGTACTTCTGCCTACCAACTTGCCCAGCTTTTCAAGTGAGAGGGAGATGTCATTTTCTATAAATAATAATAAAAAAATCACAATTTGATGTGGGGGAAAATAAAGAAAAAGAGAGTGACCTTTAAATGATCCAAAGAGCTTTGGTTATATTCCAGTACAATTTATTTAACCTTTAAAGAAGTGCTCATTTTAGTCACTCCAGTTCATTTCTTTAAAACATGGAAAAATGAACTGTGCTACCGAAACAGTGAATTGAGCATACAAAATAAGGAATTCTGGATGCATTATTATGTGTGGTCACTTATTATAGATTTTACTCAACAGGCATAAGTCATTCGTAGTGGTAAACATCAAACAAATTGCTCACTGCTGAGCTGAAGGGGAAAGGAGCGATTTATTGTTTTTTGTGTGTTTGTGGGGAGGTTTCTTTTGCCACACTTTTGTATTGGAAATCATTCCAGGTGAGAGGGCTAACTTTTGTGCTGCTATGAATATAAATCTCTGATTTGCACACTATCTTTGATAAATGCATTTGAGATAAATGCATGAGATGCGAATAAATCTACAATAAGTACAGCGAAAGGGTTACCTTTCTGTCAGTTCACAAAGTGTCTAATCATAAATATCACATTAGCAAGAGCTCTACAGTTAGCCCTAGGTAGATCCAAAGGCTTGAATATTAAGAAATATGTGACTGGTTTTGCATTTCCAAGATAGCTTTGTATTTGTGTCTCTCAAATTTCATCCTGTGATGGCATATGACAGTTACGGGAACTTGAAGTGAGTTTCAGAGCGGTTAGTGCTTTGGCAAGAGTACCCTCTGTTCAAAGGAAAAAGTCAAAATTCTACTGGCTGCAGCAAAAGCAACTGAGTCCTTGTTAAATAGGTGTGCAGGAGAATAATTCTAGGGATACATTTTTATAGCTCAGGACAACAGAGAAAATCTTTGTTAAAACCTTTTTAATTAAGGAAAGGGCAGAAAAAGGATAACCTTTGAGAGGTACTGACCTACCTAAGGGTTGGGCCTAATGTTTGTTTCTCAGGCTGATTGGGAGACATGTATTTTGGAAATTAATAAAATCCATGACAAGATTAATGAGGTTTTTTTTGTAATTTACTATCAATCGGCACCTAATGAAATGCTAATGAGTTCCAAAAAGTTATTTAATATATTCATTTTAAAATTAATTTCTTTCAGGAGGTAATATAATTTTATTGTAATGCCTTTTGTCGTACCTTTATGACTTTTCTACAATCCTGCATTGCCTTCCACATTTGTTTTAGTCACAAGGAAAGCATCTTAAGAAGATCATAGAGGAAGGAAAGTAATGTAATAGCCACACACACACACACACACACACACACACACACACCTGGTGGACATTCAAACCCATTGTGTGAACATTTCATTCAAAAAATAATGTTGGGTTAGCAGTACTGGAGGAATCAGAATTTGGGAATGCAATCAGTTATATATAAATACTTTTGCCAAGAAACAACTAACTGATGTGGAATGCATATACTCAGATTCAAAATACTGTAACCAGACTTCCAAATCCTTTACATATCAGTCTTCAGAAATGAAGGAGTGGAGTTAATGTTTACACATCTCTGAATGGGGCCACAAATTTTCTAGACTTCAATTTTCACCCTTGAAATGTTCTGTTCTGTGGTGCTTCAGGGCAATGGAAGTCCCAAAATGAGTGTAAGGAAGAAGCCAGAAACAAAGTAAAGCAGTGGTTCAGGCAGTGTTCTAGGAACACATAAGTCTGACATTATTCTAGCAAGGAACTATCAAAATTGAGCTCTTATGCTGCAGCAGCAGAAGAAGAAGAAGCCTAATTGCTAGCAATACCTGTGCTACAAGACGCTACTTTAATTAAAGGGGTTCAGCTTTGTCCAGTAATTGTTTACTGTAGCAGAGTGAGGTAGGTCTAGTCTGACTGGGTCTTCTGCTCCAGCCTCCTTTATTCAAAATTATTGTTTCAGTCAATGCCATTGCCCGTCTGCAAAATCTCTACAACTACAAGTGTAAAAGTGAAAACAATCACTGAACCTAGGGAAATGCATTAATTGGTGCCCAAATATAGTCCCCAGCTACCTTGCTTGACTCCTCTTCCCTTTATATGATGTGTAATGTTGACTGGGAAAGAACTTGCTTGAAAAAAGTTCAAAAAATGAATGTAGAGATAAGTTCACCACTTAGGTAGCTCTTAAATTTGGCTCACTGTGACAGCTGTAAAAGGAAGAAGCTCAAATAAGTACTCCATAATGACTTCTTTTCCCCTTTGAGACTAATGCACTTTCAAAAACAGTTCACTAAAATAATGCAAGTTTCATCCTCTGTTAATCTTGAGAACATTGAGCAGTCACGGTTCAAAATTGGCCATCAACCAGCTTCAGAAAACAGTAGCACTGCTTTACTTAAATATTCTACTAAAGCTTTTTTTTTTTCCTTTCTAAAAGGAATTCTAATGTTCAGTCCTTTGTTGTTTCAGTGTGAAAATTCTAGTATAACATACCAATCGTCTCATTTTTGGACATTTGGGATGAAATGTGAAGATGAAAGTTTGTAAGATTGCAAGCTCAAGATTGCAAGATGAAAGCCACAATGGCCACAGAAGAACAAAATTTTAGTAAAACTCAAAAGTCTGACTTTGTGTGTGTGTGTGTGTGTGTGTGTGTGCTGCATTTGTGACTCATGCTTTTGAAATAGTATTTTTTGAAATAAATCTAATATACAATTTTGATGTATAATACACCAAAGAGATACCATTTTCATTGAAACAGATTTTAATATGAGTGTAATGTTTCCTTTTCGTTATACTTGAATGAATCCTTGCAAAGACTAAGAAAGCTTAGAATGCTGCTCTAAATGTGTTTTTTGAATTAATATTTGTTGGATTTGTTGAATCCAGGACACTGGATTTTGGTCTGACCCAGTAACAAAGCCAAATTGAAAACTGAATAAACTGCTCTTGATATTTCTGCTGGCGTTGATTGAAAGAAACTTCCAGACATTCAAGGCTAAATAATTTAGCTGCAGTGAAATTTGGAGGCATCTTTTCCACTGGGACCTTGGAGAGTCATGGTCATAGTGACTTGTTTTAAATGATGAGGGGTGGCTTATGGTTAAGCTTTACGTCAAGATTGTCTTGGCTTTTGTGGGTCATGGAAGAGAGGTGGAACTGGAGTAGCAAGTAGGTCAACATGTTGCAATATCTTCTCCAGAGATGAGGTGGTTGTCCATGCTGTGTTGTGTGTGTGTGTGTGTGCGCGCACACACACACACACAAGAAAACTGTATGAGACAGACTTGGGAAGTTCCTTAAGCTTAGGTGGCAGTATCAGCTGAGTTGCACAGGCTCTGGTTTCCCTTTCCTCTTGAGGTGTATGGCACACAGGAACTCCAAGGCAGGTCTTGTGCTACTCATGGAACTCTTGCTTGGGGTAAGGCTGTCCATGGGAAATAACAGCAAGGGTGTGACTTTGTTGCTCCTCTCTAGAAGTGGCACATGTTAGCCTGATCAGAGATAGGAAGGTGTAGAGCAGTATTGTTTAGTATTACTGATTCAAAAAAGAAGTGATGCAACTTTATTTCCCACCGTTCACTGTTGTCCTTGTCTTTCTCCCTAGGACTGTGAGCAATTACATTTATTTATTTATTTATTTGTATCTGTCCTATCCTTCCTTTGCTCAAGGAAATGGCATCTGTTGCTACACTGTCATGCTTTGCCAATCTGTCCCCAAATACAAAACTTTCCTATGCACCTGTTTCCCCGACTATTATGCATTAGAAACTGTCAATTACTTCATTTTTTTGGGATACTTATACACTGTTCAAAAGTTACATCTACAAAGTCATAGTAATAAAAGGAACACTGAACAAACTGTGCTACAACTGCAAACGTTTTAATATGAATATTTCATCCAGCAATCAAATCTACTGTGCTTATTGCATTTTGTTGCGGGACAGATTGCAAAACTTGTATTCTTCTCCAGCAAAACATCAAGAAGCTATTTTCTCCAGCAGCTGCTCATAAGTTTGACTTGTAATGGTTGTTAGCACAAAGAAAGCTACTTCGGCATTGGATCAGGCTGATGAAAAGACTCCACGAATCTTGATTCACCCGGTTAGTGCTTGGCTCTCACAGGCTAAAGATGCTTAAATTGCCACCAAATGGTCTGCCAGCCTAATAGACACAAGCCAAATACACAATAAAGTGTTTTCTGTTGCTTTAATGAGTGGACACTTTAATTTGTTTCATATCATCCCCCCAATCGATCATTATAACCTTGTTTCCACTTGCCCATCCGTCAACAGCTTCACTTTAAAATGTTTTATTTATTATGCTTGATTTGAATGTAGAGCCTGGCATAAGCTCCTCACATGCTTATTATTGCTTTTTGCAACACACACACTCTTAGGAAGTACTGCTATTTCATTAGGAAACTGTTTTTCTAGTTTAAATGAAGTAATGTGAACTTGTTAACCCTTCACAGGTCAGGCAAGCAGTAAGTTAGCAAAGAGAAGATTTTACTTGTCATTTAACATTCTAGACCAGGGGTCTGCAACCCGCGGCTCCAGAGCCGCATGTGGCTCTTTTAAAACCTTTGCCGCGGCTCCGGGACGGATACTAACGAGGAGAGGAGGCGCATTGTGCGCCCCAACACTCCCCACTGTGGTGGCCGCTGTACTGGCTGTGACGTCGCATGGGGGCGGTGCGTGCGTTAGTCACACACCGTCCTGACATCACCTTCCCGCCCGCCCGCCCGCTACATTGTAAGGGGCATGTACGCTGGTCACTGCATTGTAAGGGGGCATGTACGCTGGTCACTGTTTTGAAGGGGAGTGAAGAACACACACACAAAAAAGGTAACTTGTTAATTTAACATTTATTTCTATGAGGAGGAGTAAAGTGACAAAAAAGTTATTTTTATAATGACAAGTTTTGCGGCTCCCAGGTTTTTTTTCTTCGGAAACGGGTCCAAGTGGCTCTTTTTGTCTTAAAGGTTGCAGACCCCTGTTCTAGACCCTTGTCCAGAATTTATGATTTATGAATCACTCAGTTGTCAGAGTGATTACTCAGTTCCATTACTCATTTTAAAATTCCCTACCCATGGCTTCCACCCCTGTTATTGGCAGCAACTAACTGCGTTAGGAACTGGATTTCAGCTTATATATTTGGTTTACTCATTTGCAAGGAACCATCCATTATTAGAGTAGTTTAAGTATTTGTTTGGAATTGCTGCTTAAAACTGTCAATTTATTTTTTTGTAAGAAAAATTGTGTATGTATATGAATTGTTAGTTGTATAAGTAATTTATAATACAGACATATTGTTATGAGATTAACTTTCTGTTGGGCCATTAAGGTAACAAAAGAAGTAGATGTGTTTGAGAAAGCAATTGGGTGGGACCCCCTCCCTGAACTTGCCTCGCTAATACACCAGTGATATATCGCTGAGTGAAGCCGACATCTCGATATACTGGTGCTGGGCAATATATCAATATATCGCTCAGGCCTAGACACCACAGTCTCATCAGTGCCTCATTCTGAAGGAAACATGATTCTGTGATTATTATTCTCCTCATAGCAGCTGAGATGGGGAGCCGGTTCAGTTTTAGATGTGTTGCAGATACTCAGCGCAGATACTTTTGATGGCACATTTGTTAATGTGCCATCAAGAACAATATATGCCAACCATTTAACAATAACTTGGTTCCTCCAATAGTTATATCAGAGGGATTATGGGGAAAGTACATGCGTCAATACTCAGATTCCCTGTTGACCAATAGTGTTGAGACAGTACTATCTAGGATAGTAGTGTATTACTTTTCTGATGTACAGTGGTACCTCGGGTTACAGATGCTTCAGGTTACAGACGCTTCAGGTTACAGATTCCGCTAACCCAGAAATAGTACCTCGGGTTAAGAACTTTGCTTCAGGATGAGAACAGAAATGGTGTGGCGGCAGCGGGAGGCCCCATTAGCTAAAGTGGTGCCTCAGGTTAAGAACAGTTTCAGGTTAAGAACGGACCTCCAGAACAAATTAAGTTCTTAACCCGAGGTACCACTGCATGAGAATATAGTGATGCAGGAGCACCTCTTTATTTGTCCTGAACAAGACTGATCCTTTGGGAGCATCCCCACATGTGCCTCTTGGGATGCAATTGCAACGTATTGCTTTGGGAAAGGTCTTTCTGGAGCTCTTCTTGTGCATATTAGGCAGTGCTTTCTTTTCTTTAAAATGTTTAGGGGTACTCTCATTTTGACTCAAGAAAATCACAATTTTATAGTTCAAATCAGGAAAAATAAATATAGTAAATGGACAAAAGTACAAAGATTCACAAAATGTTTAGGGGTATGCATCCCCCCAGAAAAAAAGCACTGATATTAGGGTTTTTGAAAAGTGGGAATGGACAATACAAAATGGCCCTTGCTAAACAAGGAGAAAACGCCTAATCAAGGCCAACAAGACCTGAAAATAATTGCTTTTCTTCTTTCTAGTAACTAGTGAGACAATAGTGCAGAATGAACATGTTTGCTGCATGTTAGAATCGATGGAATTCTTCTGAGCTGCTATCTTGCCTTCTGCATTTCTGAATACCAGTAGTGTTATGCCAAAACTCAATTTGCTGATTATTCTAAAAAGCCCATATACTACAAATTCGTTTTTATAGATCAGACCAGATGGTGTTTTGAAGGAAAGATATGCTAAACTACTATGAAGGTATAGTTACTGGAATACTGTTTGGTGGCAGATGTTGTAGTGGTTTATGGGATCTAAAATTTACTTTATTGTAGCTTTATAGTGCTTTTAAAACAGTTTGAAACAAAATCACGCCTGTTTTGCCCAAAAAGTTTCTGTTGAGAAATTGAGGTTTTTTGGGGGGTTTTTTGCTGCTGCTTACAGAAAGGGTTTAGTAGAGATGGATAGAAGGAATCAGAGCAGTGAACAACTGGCAAAAAGTTATCATCCTAATTGAGGGCAGAAAAATTGTGGGACAGTTTTATGAATGGGAAGGAGAAATTTTCTTACAATTTCTCATTACAACATTGTTAGGGACAGTAACACAATGACTTCCTTTTTCCAAATGTTTCCTTTCCCCTCCTTTTTACTGTGGTTGCAAAGGAAAATAGATATGTTAGGAATCTGGTCACCATCTTGTATCCTCCAAAACACCTCAGCCCTAGGCAGCATTTCACAACACTGCATGTGGAATGAGAGAGAATATTCACAATTTTTAATTTATTGATTGATTGATTGATTGATTGATTGATTGCAAAGTTGCCTTAATTTTCTCATTAGGTGGGAACAAAAAAAGTGTTCTCTGAAAAAAGTCTTCTGGGAAAATTGAAACAGCTTTAGAAGGAACTGTCATTTTTCTCTCCCCATAACTTCAGTAGAGGGTGGAGTTAAATCATTTGAGCCCACCCAAACTCTGGAGTGTATACAAGAAGCTAGAATTGCTTCTGCAGTTCACTTTGGGCATGAATAAAGAGCTCAGTGTTCATTTCAGTTGGGTTTTATATGCCTTGTGACTTCCTGATTCCCTGGGACACACTAGAGTTCCACCTCATAACATGATGCCCCTTGAATGCAGTGAGGAAGTGCTTTTGTTATGGACCTCTCATTGCACTGGATGGTTCTGCATTCAGATGCAGAATTCAATAAACCTCAAGGATTTCTCAGTGAGAAGCTTGAACTTCATTTGTCTATGAGATAACATACCCAACACCTCCAAAGTAGCAATGGAGAAGTAAAAACACTTCTGCAATGGGTCCAGAATACCTAGGGCTCTGGACCCACTGGAAATGTTTCTCTCTTATTGGTAGTCATGAATTCAGTCAAGCCTCCAGCATGGAGTAGAACACAGTTCCATTATTAGGTAGGGTTGCTTTATTTCAAAAAGTAAAAACCAGGACACCCCAAAGTGTCCTTGTAGACACAATTTTTCAATTGACTTCCCTAAGTTCCAGGACAAAGCATTGCCTTTCGGAATTTCCCTCTGGACATCTATTCCTCCTTTGAAATTCCAGTAATGTCTAGGAAAATCTGGACATAAGGCCGCCCTATGGTTAGGGCCAGCAAAATTTTATAGTTGCTTAATTCTGGTAGAAAGTGGGCCGTAGATGGCTTCAACAAGCCACTCTGGGGATGGATAAAGAAACATAGTTGACTCCTGGGCATGCTTAGTTTGGAGATTATAAATAGGGCTGCTATAGGAATTCAACCAAGCATGACAAAAAGGGCACTGGAAATGCCTCAGCCCACCAGCATTCAAAATGCAACATTTTTTTCAGAGTTGGACATCATCATCAAATATAACTCCCCATAAAGGTAAAGGTAAAGGGACCCCTGACCATTAGGTCCAGTCATGCCTAACTTTGGGGTTGCGGCGCTCATCTCGCTTTATTGGCCGAGGGAGCCGGCGTACAGCTTCCGGGTCATGTGGCCAGCATGACTAAGCCACTTCTGGCAAACCAGAGCAGCGCATGGAAACGCCGTTTATCTTCCCGCCGGAGCGGTAGCTATTTATCTACTTGCACTTTGATGTGCTTTCGAACTGCTAGGTGGGCAATAGCAGGGACCAAGCAACGGGAGCTCACCCCGTCGTGGGGATTCGAAGCGCCGACCTTCTGATTGGCAAGTCCTAGGCTCTGTGGTTTAACCCACAGCGCCACCTGCGTCCCTATAACTCCCCATAGTCCTTCATAAATTGTTAGTATAATCTCATGTGAAATAGGTGTCATAAGGATCTGGAAAATGGAAATGTGACTGCATAGCATAGACTCATATTACTCATGTGTAAAAGAGCTTTCAAATTTTAAAATAATTTGCAATTATTTTGTTCCAAGGTGCTCTATGCACCGTGGGCATCAGTCTTCTGGCCTAACTATTCCATCAGCCTCTGTATCTTCATTTCAGTCCACTGTTCTTCAGTGGCACCAAACATGGGTCCATCAAGTGAGCAGTGAAAGTGAATGCTGTGACAGATCGTCCCTGCAAACCATTGTAGATAATTAGTTGGAAAATATTATCATTGCCACAGCCTATTTTTATCCTTATAGAAGGCAGCATTTTTCCTGACGTCAGAACAACAGTGAAGGCCAAGAAGAAATTTAGAACCTCTCAAGAGAACTAGCAATCACTGTCTGATTTATTATTTTTAAATTTTAGTATTTTGAATGAAATCCATCAACAGTCAATATTTAGAACTGTATTTTTCACTGCGGGTGCTCAAATATCTCTGTTTTATGATACCTTGTGAATGGAGAGATTGTGATTCTAATGGTGCTGCCACCACATAAAGCTCATTAAGTGACAGTAAACAAGAGGGCAGAGAAAGAAGTGAGGAAAACAAAGCAGGAGAAGAAAATGTTGATTGGATGGGGAATGGGGGATGAAGAGAGGCATTTTACATTCCAACCTTGCAGCAAAAGAAAAATCCAGTTGCCAATTCTATACATCCATATCAATAGCAAAGTGCTATACTGCCAGGAAAACATATTATATCGGTATACTGTATCTTTGCAACTATATGGGAGCTGGGAAACATGCAGCCAAGCATTAAACGGATAAATATGCATACAGATTGTATTTGGCTGGGCAAGATACAGAAGGCTGGCAGAGGAGATCTTGGTGACACAACACAGTGAGCACTTTGCGTCTTGTTGGATTAAGGACTAGATTTGTGTCTCAGCCAATATAATGTCATGTTGAGTTATGTAAATCCCATCACAGAAATGCAAACACAATGCAGCAGCAGCATTCTTTGGCTTGGGCTCCTCAGCTATTTCACTGAAACCAATTTGATGTCTTGCTACAGATTGTTTTTCCCTTGCGGCTCAACGACACTGTTTGCTGAATTTAGCTCTCCCCACTCCCCTTTTTTAACCATTAGGTTTTATGAAAGAAAACACATATTTTAATAACTGGCATTCTTCTAAAGTGCATATGGTAAAGAGAGACTTTTGCTGCTGTTACCCTAGCACCACATAATGCTAATAATCCACATTTAGCTACCTAAGAAGTCATATTGTTAAGTGCAGGGAGCATATTTTCAGGTCTTGATTTTGAAGCCATCTTCAGGTGATGCACCAGAGCAGTATGGGCATCAGCCCTCCAAGCCTCTCTATCCAGCCCTTAGGATTTCGGCCCATGTCATGCCCTCTCACCCAGATAGTGGCCCCCTCAAAGAGCCCCATGCCTAAATGGTCCTACTCTCTATCCTCCTTGAATGCTGGCTGAAACATACAGTATGATTCTGTATCCTTATGCCTCCTCTTCTTGAAATATAAAAACATCTTTATAATATTTATCAGAAAGATAAATTAAATTTATATTATGAGTTATGCCTAGAAAATAAAGATATGGTGCAAAAGCATTATTACATGATAAGTTCCAAAAAGGCTTAGTATGCCAAATGTCATCCAACACAAATTTATGATAAACCTATTTAACAAATAATCAGTGCTTGGGGTGGGGGTGCTACTTTGAGGATCACGAGAACCTGGGTTTTCTCTGTCTTGGAGCCAACTAACTGTGCAACTTACTTACCTCTCTTGATTAATACACTGTTTTCAAACCTGTCAAACTGGTTGTCATAAAGCCTTCTTGTTTGTTAATGTACTGGTAGAAAATAAGTTGTGATAGTATGGTTATTTAAGGGCTTCCATCATGTTTTATTTTTCCCATAGGGATTCTGCAATACAAAGTTGTTTACTTGAATTGGCATCAATAGATCAATTGAAGTGATCAAAAGCTAGTTAATGTTGTATTACTTATTTCATTTATTAATTCCTTCCTATGTGGCTTCTCATCATGATTTATAATACAGTAGCAAATTAAACACGCACACACACATAATCAAATAATTGCATATATAAAAACTTTTTTAAAAAAAAATCATCAACCTCAAACAATTACATGTAAAACAATTTAAAAACATGCTGCAGATTCCTGCTACAATCGAGATTAGTTAAATCTCTTCCTCCCTGATCCCAACTTTTTCCTTCTTATTAGTGATGTTCTGTCATTGACAGGAATAACCTAGATGGCATGAATCTGTGAGTATCCCCCTTCACTGATTTTTCCACCAGGGAAGAAACACAGGCCAGGGGGAATCTGATCTTCTACTAAAATCCTGAACTTCAATTGAAAAAGTGGCAGCACCACTTTCTTGTTGTGACCTGAAGCTTCTGGGGACAGAAGGAGGGAAAAGTACATTCCTTCCCTGTGGGAAAGACCTATCTTCCTTTTTCCTTAACTCAGTAACTTCTAGGGATTTAGAACAGTGCAAATTAGGGGAGACGAAGAAACCATGTATCCCCCAGCTGCCTGAGTTGACACTTGGAAAGGCAACATTTTCTAATCGACAGTTGGAAGTGAGAAAGAAGCACCAACTTTCATGCCCTTGTGAACATCCATTTAGACAGAATGACAGCATATTTTAATCAAACCAAGAAATGAATCTGAGATTTGTTTGAAAACACACAGATACACACACAAATAGCACATGTCCCTTCTTTGCTAGTTGCATTCAAGACAAGTCTCACAAACTCATTCATCCCTAAAACAATGGTGTATGTGAGCAACACGAGTCATAATTGACAAGCACTTGAAAACATGATGTCCCTCATCTCTGAACAAACGCACCTGGGGACAAGATAAATTTTTAGATTTAAATGAGAGACAACTACCTGATAAAACTCTTGCGATAAACTTTCAAGTTGAATGACACCAAGACAGCCAGCAAAATTAAGGGCTACTTACTTGAGTTGTCTGGTCAATCATTTAGTGAAGGATCCTTGGAGGAAGAACCCAACCAATTCCTGGCTTTCTGCACACGAGTCCTCCTGATTCTAAACCTGATCTAATTTGATTTAGACTAGTTTCCATAGTTTATAGAACAAGGTAAGGCAAGTGAAACCAGAGCCATAAAATGGTCTCTTAAAAGGCTCAGTGGTTTACCACATGTATATGAAATTGAGAGAAGTAATCTGGAGCTTCAAAGTTAGGTGGAATCAATGCACAGATATCACTCAGCTCTATAGTTCTCTTCAGGACTGCTTACCTATGCACTGTAATAAGAAATAGGGGTGGGCTGCAAAGCCCAGTTCTTCCAGTGCATGAGTGGGAAGAAACTAGAGTCTACTCCATTCACGTGGGCTTCATGTGTGACTGAGAACCCTGATCTTCCAGACTTCTAAGTAATTTGGCATTTCAGGCTGTCCTTGTAAAGCAACTGGTTCCAAAATGTGGCAGCCAGACTGCAAACATGACCCACTTGCTACAAGTGCATTGACCATCTTGCCTTGCCATGCTAGAAAATGGATTGGCTCGGATACTCCCTGGTAAGGAAAGCATCAAGGTCCCATGCACTATGTGGACACATCATTCCACAATGGAAATAGCTTCTTTGGCTCTTCAAAGTGCCGTCATACTAGTCCTGTAACCATCTTTTCACAATAGATTCATCATCATACGAATCCAGAAGGTTTGCATTTGTTGTAACCTTAGGGGAAGCAGCCCAGACTCTTAGCAGAGCTCACTGTATGCATAATATATTTCCTTCACAGCTTGTAAACAGAATTCATGAAAGCTCCATCTCCAGGCTCTGCAATGCTCCTGAGCAGGCTTACACTAATGACAGCACATCAAGATTATAGCATAATCTTCTTAAACTATACACATACTGGAGTTTATTTTCTTTCACATAATAGCAATTATGATTAAATAGCCTATCATTGTGGAAACATGAGCTTAGCTGCATCTCATTTTGTTGTATTCTGTAGTTCCCTTTCTGTGTGTGCCCCCCCCTCCAGTATTTGAAGATGGTGCATCTCCACATGGCAATTTTTACTTGTCTCCTCCCTTATTTTATTTTTCAAAGAACCTTAAATAAATGCCACTTCAGCTTTCCATAGGGTTGGACAATGCACACTTTCTAGTTTTGGATAATTGAAGCTATAATCACAAACAAGCAACCCACAATCTAAAACTGTAATTTAAAAGCATTTGATATTTGACGTCTATTTATTATTTTAATAAATTTGTATATTGCCCTTCCTCTGAAGATCTCATGGTGGTTCACAGCATAAAAATACAAAATAAAAACACAAAATATAGAATAAAAACAAGAACAAAACAAATGAATACCCCCTGACACAAACGCATTTGTACCTCACGGTAGCAATAGATATACAGTGAAATCCACATCAATTATATTCAGAGCAGATCCATTGAAATAAAAGAAATCAATTAACTCAAGCTGATGAATTTCATTGGATTTTATCTGAGTACAGCTAGCATTGGAAGTCACCCATAGATACAGATGCTCAATGGAATATGAGCCGAAACATTTGAGCAGGTGTGTGCCCCCTCTAACTCTCCCTGGATGGGAACTGCAATGATTATTTTGCCTTTTACAGTAAACATTAAATCTGTTGTCTTTTCATAGGTCACTTCCGATAACATTTATTTCTGTTCAGAAGACATCGCTGTCATAGGTAGATTTGACACTAATTCTATGTAACAGTTGTTTGCAAACTTGCAATGTACAAGCCACTGAGGTCTGCAGAAGTATAATGACTGGGGAGCTGTCTAAAGTTGGCAATGGAGATTGACTGCAGATACCAAAGTGACAGCGATTAAAATGGGAAATCAAACTGAGAAAATCCAAGTTACCTTGTGAAAAGGTTGCAAAGAACTGTCATTTGAGCATTGAGGTCCCATCAGCACTATGCATTTAAAGCATAGCACTATGTATTTAAGCATACCACTCTAGACAGTCACAGCTTTCCGTGGAGAATCCTGGGAACTGCAGTTTGTTAAGGGTACTGAGAATGTTAGAAGACTCTATTACCCTCACAGAGCTACAGTTCCCAGACTGAGTCACCCTGAAGCGGAAATTTATTTCTTTTTCATTGTAATTGGCAGAAGGACCACTGAATAACAATCAATATGGCTGGAGGAAGGCAATATTCCATATTTTTTGTGCCAGTTTGATGGAGGTTGGGTAAGGGTAGACTTGAAATGCCTCCATGCCTTCCAGCTTCTTGTGGCACCTTAATGCTTTTGAGCACTGAGAGGCTCTGGAACAACATAATTTTTTCCTCTGCTTCTTTTTCTCTTGCATCCAGATCACACATTCAGAAAAAGAACGTTGTTCTGGAAGTTATGGTAGTTCACTAAGGGGGATTTAATGACCTGTCTCAATGTCATTGCAGGAGTGTTCACATATTAAATTCAGCAAGTCTTCAGTCTGTGTAGTTGTGTACAGAAAGAGTTGTATGCTTGTATTGTTCTTTACATATAATAGTCGCTGATTGTACACAATAGTTGAGCTGTACAAATCAACAAGAGTACACAGAAACATTTGTCAATATGTAGATACACCTTAACTGTTTCCAATGAAATGTGTGAAAACTCTATTCAAATATCTGAATCTCTGAGCTCTGCTAGCACATGGAGGGAGTGTGTGTGTGGGGGGGGTTCTATCATGATTTTTTAACCCCTAAATTATAGATTCTAGAAATTTGTTTGGCAACATGAAGCTCTGCTATCATAATTTTCTTTGTGATTATTTTGTTTTGTAAAAAACCGTGCCTCTGAAACAAATGTATAATTTCACATTCAGCTGAATTGCTCATTAGTGTCTTTCTTTATGCACAGACAAATACTGTGCCCAGTTTAGATTATCCATCTTCCTGCCAAGTGCTCTACTAATACTTGGGGAATAGTTTTAGGAATTAGTTAGTGCAACATGAAACATTTAATTAGTTCACTTCACAGCTCAGTGTTTGAGATTACCAGATATTTTTCATAAGAAATCATGTGTCTGTTTAGCTGTGAAACATAGCACAGAGCACACAGCTATGGCTTTCGCCTCCGCAACTGTGCCTTCTATAATGCATACAGGGTTTCTTTTAAACACCAGTGCAAAGCCAATGTTGAACTCTAGCAAGTTGTGCTAATCTTTGCTTTTCAAATTAGTCTTGCCAAACAGCTTTTGCTCTTAATTAAAATCTCCATGTGTGATTCTAGTTGTTAACATCATATGTCACCTAGTCCTGCCTGTTCAATAAATAAAGGGCATTGTTTTCTAATAAAGTTCAGGATTCATTTTATGTGCTTCGATAAAGAAATAAATGATACTTTCCCTTAATATTTGTTATTCATACTTGCCTATCTTATCTCAATGGATCAGAGCAGTATTATACATATGAAAAGGTTCTAGTTGCCTTATCCGAAGGCTTCATGAGTTGCTTTTACAAGCTGGGATGAAAAAGGAATGCTAACAAAACAAACACAAAACCATTATCTTTCACCCACAGGACCAGGGGCTGGCAACGTTGGGCACAGAAAGGAGCCATGTCAATCACTCAACCCACACAATTTCTTCCTACACACTCTGCTGAGGTTGTCGGATCTTACCGTCTTTCCCAGCTGTAATGCTTTATGACACAATACTTCATTGCAACATTGCTGGATTGGAGCAGATTTTCTGCACTTTTGCAGAATTTGCTGTACACCATCATGCACACACAAACAGCCCTTTGAGGCAGGAGCTAAAAGTGGATTTTCATTGTGTGAATACAATGATTGCACTGAATGCATTTCAGCTGTTTGTAAAATGTTGTTTCTGAAGCTACATTTGTGTGGTCTAGTGTAGCAGCATTTCTTATTTGACATTAACAGGGTGGCACATCAACCCTCACTGGTATCCAAACAATTTATTTCTTCACAGTTTTCATGTCTCAAGCCCCTTACAGCTGAAATAACTGAATAAACAGTGACCTGTAGATGTGTTTGATGCATGAGGTACATTGCTATTCTGTGCACTTAAAACCAGCCCAAGGCAATTTTCAGCAAGTGTGTTAGACGTTGCCTAAGGTTTTAATAGTAAAAGAACATCCATATGTCACTTTGGTTCCAAAAGCAGATAAGGCACTCAGCTACATTCTTTAATGCAAATCCCTCTAAAACCTTATATGCTATTAGTAGTCCGCTAGTTATTTGATGAAAGAGAAAATTAACTTTTCAAAGAGCAAGGAAAAAATAGCAACTGTGTCTATTACACCAACCAATCCAATATTCTTCACAATGAGATAGTGTTTCTTTTTACTCATTATGCTTAGCAAAAGCAATCAACACAAGCCTGAAATGATAATTGTACAGAAATGAGATCTGATTAAAAGTAGAGATCGGCAGGTACTGGGGGAAAATGACCCATCTCTGAAATGAAGAGAAAATGCAGTGTAGTGTCAGCATTAGGCTTTTAGTCCTTAAGGTGTCACTAGGTTCTATGCCTTTTTAGCATTAGAGGGAAAAAGAAAATAAAAATCCAGTTCCACATCTTACTCAAAAAAGAGTGTCATAGAAAACAATTTATATCCCAGTAAACATGGGTAGGATTCATGGAACCGTAGCCTCAATGGAATAAATTCCACAAGTCCAATGACTAGAATATTTTAGTCAGCATAGTATTTATGTAAAAGAGAGGTGAATGAATCTCCGCAATAGTCATGCTCTAGAAATATATTCCAAGTCAGGATACTCATTACTTTCTCTCCTGAAGCACAGGGGGGAAAACAACAGCACCAAAGCTACAACTTTCAGAACAGTACTGATGTTATCCATATTTTCCTTAACATAAAGTCCACTCTCCTAAAAAAATGGGTGGCAGTAGTGGTGGGGGTGTGACATGCCACCATTGCCAGGTCCCCTTTTCTGGCTTCCCCATTGCCCGGTCCCCCATCCTATATTTGTACATTTGGTTCTTCCTGTCTAAGTGAAGAACCTTACATTTGTCCCTATTGAAATTCATTTTGTTAGCTTGCGAACAGTTCTACAATTTGTTAAGCTCATTTTGAATTCTGATTCTGTCTTCTGTGGCATTAGCTACCCCTCCCAGTTTGGTGTCATCTGCAAATTTGATGAGCATCCCCTCAATTCCTTCAAGTAATTTATAAAGACGTTGAACAACAAGGGGCCCAGGACAGAACCCTGTGGCACCCCACTTGTCACTTTTTTCCAGGATGATGAGGAACCATTAATGAGTACTCTTTGGGTTTGGCCAGTCAACAAGCTACAAATTCATCTAACAGTTACCTTGTTCAACTTATATTTTAACAGTTTCTTTGTGAGAATATCATGGGGTACTTTGTCAAAAGTCTTACTGAAATCAAGATACACTATGTACACAACATTTCCCTGATCCACTAAGTTTGTAATTCCGTCAGATTGGTCTGGCATGACTTGTTTCTCCGAAACCCATGCTGGGTCTTAGTAATCACAGCATCCTTTTCTAAATGCTCACAGTCTGTTGAATTATCTGTTCTGAGCTGTATTCAGCCTGACTTTCCCCCGGCACCTGTTATGATTTCCCATTTCTTATACAGGCCCTTCTTAACTCTCTGCTCATTTGTAAGCTCCTCATGCAGCCACGCCAGTTTCCTTAGATGCCCTCCACTTTTCTTTCTTGTTGGTATTGTCTGCATTTGGGCCTTCAATATTTCTCCTTTTAGGAGAATTTAAACCTTAAAGCAGGAATTGAGATGTTGTTGGACTCCCATCAGCCTCAGCCAGCACAGTCAATGACACAGGATGATGAGAACTAGAGCCCAGCAATGTCTGGAAGCCAACCATTAAGGTGTTAGCATTATCAGATCATAGTAAGGACTACTTCACAGGTTTAGCATTTGACTATTGAACATTCACTGCATTCTGTGGAAACACAAAGAGTGGGAAGAAGCTGCAGCCAGGCATTATATGCCTAGAAATTACCATGCACTCAAATACAGAATAGCCATTAGAATTTTATTATGTGAACTGCCCTGAAACCTCCGAGTATAGGGCAGTACAGTGGTGCCTCGCAAGACGAAATTAATTCGTTCTGTGAGTTTTTTCGTCTTGCGGTTTTTTTCGTCTTGCGAAGCACGGTGTCAGAAAAGTTTTGGAAAAGCTTCAAAAATCACCAAAGTCTTCAAAAACCTCAAAAAGGGCTACCACACCGCGTGCTATGAGTTGCTCCTCGAAGTCAAGTCACAACTGTATTAACGATTTTAAGAAAAAGGAAACAAACTTGCAAGACGTTTCCGTCTTGCGAAGCAAGCCCATAGGGAAAATCATCTTGCGAAGCAACTCAAAAAACCCAAAACCCTTTCGTTTTGCGAGTTTTCCGTCTTGCGAGGCATTCGTCTTGCGAGGTACCACTGTATATATATTCAATAAATAAGAATAAGAATAAGAATAATATAAATACAGGGTAGCATTAAAAGAAAGACTGCTACCATTGTTGTCTGCTATTAGATTTATTACTCACCCTCTACTATGAGGTAGCAGGGCGCAGTCAAGAGAATGTATCAACCATACTATTATCACAAAAGGTAAAGTCTCATAATTATATAGTCAATTAAGAATTGTCTATGTTAGTCAATATGGCAAGAGGAAGAAACTTGATGATTACTTTATTACTGCAATTTATTCAGGTGAATGCTGGGCTGGCTGCTTCTGCATCACCAAACAAAGACAAAAGTGCCTTCCATCAGCTTTGGCTGGTGGCCCAGTTACGCTCCTGTCTGGACAGAGAGAGCCTAACTACTGTTAGAGTTGTTGTTGTTGTTTTCATTAGGTATTTTGTGGTTTTATATCTTGATTTTATGCTGTGAAACGCTCTGAGACCCTAGGGTATAGGGCAGTATATAAGCTCAATAAATAATAAAATAATAGACTTAAACATTACCATCTTATTCTCCTGGGTTTTTGTCTTGTGGAGTGCTGACAGAGCCCAATTTACGCATCTAGTTCCACAACTATCTGGCAAATATCCCCTACTGTGTTGTGTCAGTTATTCTCTATCCCACAGACCTTTCATTGAGGCCTGGTTCCTAGGTTACAAATTAAGGATGTCCTTTTTTTTAACTCTGTGAAAAAGGGAACATGTAGGAAAAGGAAAATGTAAATATTGTTCCACCTCGTCTCTGAACTGACTTACGTTCCCCTGGATTCAATCACAACCAGGAAATAAGTATGTCCCCTGTAGTAAAACAGATAAAGACTCTGGCAGATTGACTAGTAGAGAAACTAAAAGACTATGTCTAAATTCAAGGAGGCATGTTGATTTTTTGAAACAATATGGTAACTGCAAGAGTTTTCTTTTGTTAAACTTATATAAGGAAAATACGTGGAACTAAGTAAAAGAGTTATGGCTGTAGTCGGGGAGATAGGGACATGGGTGGTGCTGTGGTCTAAACCACTGAGCCTCTTGGGCTTGCCGATCGGGAGGTCGGCAGTTCGAATCCCCACAATGGGGTGAGCTCTCATTGCTCTGTCCCAGCTCCTGCCAACCTAGCAGTTTGAAAGCACGTCAAAGTGCAAGTAGATAAATAGGTACTGCTCCGGCGGAAAGGTAAACGGTGTTTCTGTGCACTCTGGTTTCTGTCATGGTGTCCCATAGTACCAGAAGCAGTTTAGTCATGCTGGCCACATGACCCGGAAAGCTGTTTGTGGACAAACGCCAGCTCCCTCAGCCTGAAAGCGAAATAAGCGCCACAACTCCATAGTCACCGCTGACTGGACTTCACCATCCAGGGGTCCTTTACCTTTACATTTACCTAGTCAGGGAGATGATCTTAGGGCTCATCCCCACTTATTGCTCTGTCCCTTTCCACCAGTAAAGTGGAAAGGAAACATAGGAAAACCCTATGTTTAACACTGAATTGGAGCACACACTCAACCCACTGTGCTGCTGGAATTCCTTTCCTATTTCCTAGCCTTTTCCTGCTGGCCTTATTGTTTCCCTGCCATTCTCAGCACTAGAAGTATATGAACAAAGGCAACACCTGAAACTTGACTAACTTTTGACAGAGAGCTATAGCCAGCATTATTCTGCTAGGAAGTGAGTTCAGGTGCCAACTGGTAAGACTGTCTATTATTCACTGTAGGAAATAGAAGACTTTCTAAGAATTACCAAGTGTTTCAGAAGAAAAAATGCTTAACCTTTCCTAAAAGAAATTTCTATGAGCCCTTAATTGTTTTGTTACCACGTCCATACAGCTTATTTTATGTAAGCATCTGTCCTCCTTTCTATCTATATCTAACACAAAATCACATAGATATATTAGCTAATAGGGTGCTGTTATATTTTATATCTCTTAGAGGACAATGAAAAACATGGGAATGGGGTGGAGAGAGTTTGTACTTTGAATATTTAAATTGAAATTTATTACTGCTGATAACTTCGGCAGATGCCAATCACATCTGCTTTTCTCATTTATTATTTGGGAATTTTTGCTTCTCTTTAAAGGTCCCCAATAGTCCCCAATAGCTTGTATTTCCAGTTTTAAATTTTTTGCTTTATGTAATTTGTGCCATGCTTTTACAAAAAAAATGCACAATCCTATATTACATTAGAGCCTGTAGTTAGGTGCTCTAAAATTATTCTTCAGGCAAAAGCACTAGTCACTGACTTCTCACATGTAGGATGCTACCAGGTCTTCCTGGAGAGGGACCACACTTTTAGCCCCTACACATTGTGAATGATTGTTTGAACAGAAAGCCTACTGTGTAAGTTCCAGCTGGTGTGCAGGGGCTCTGCATGATTGGCAAACCTGCATGACGGTGTCTGATCACTCTTCTAAAAAAAGAGAATCATGTTTGGGTTTTTTTACAGAATTTTTTCTTAATATTCTGTGTCATATTTTTGCCATGGCTGCCAACCCCGTCTCCACAAAATGCTCCAAAACAATGCTAGGTCACAGGTATTGTAGAAGAAACAAAGTTCCTTTGGTTGCCACCTGCAGCAGCAGGTAAAAGAATCAAGAAAGGAAAGAATAGAGCTACGCTGCTTCCACGCATAATGGTCAGCCCTTTCAGTAAAAAATTGTTGGATAATTTCACTTCCTGGAGAAATTTGGTGAAATGGTTTCCCAAATATCGGCTAGCTCTGGCTCTTGAAAAGTGAAATTATCTGTTGCTCCCTCTGTGGCCTGAACAAAATGCTGGATTTACTTTTGGATTTATTAGAGCACCAAAATTCAGCTCAACCACAGATTGATGCTTTGTCAAGCCTTTCAAGGCTTACTCCTATAAATCTTTGTGCAGAACTTCGGCAGCTAATTTTATTTGGCGTGAACATAGGATTGTTAGATTTCTAGTTATTTCTAGACTTCTTTCTCTTCTCTTTGAAACAAGCAATTCAGACCCAATAAATACTTAAGCTTCAGTTAAACATCTGAGTGTATGTGGCGCATTCGGTTTCACACTGTGGACATAAATTACCTCCATGGGTGCTTCTAACACATTCTGCATCACTTTAAAAGTGAATGAATTGCCTCAAGACATTGAAAACACAAATAATCTATTCTCATAAGCTTCCTCACTCCCCCTGCCCCTGCCACAATGTTAACCATAGAACCCAAGCCAGTCTTTTCTCCTGCTGTTTGTGGACAATTACTCTGAACTAGAATGTGTCATGCTACATGTGCTTCTTTGAATTTTGCATAACAAAGCAACCCATCCATTTAAAACAGTTATGGCTTCATCCCAATAATGCAAATTCATCAGGCTGTATAGTGGGAGAATCTCTATGGTGAGTGGTTGGATAGCAGAGCGATCCTAACTTCCCAGTGTTGCTACCATGGTATCCTCAGCCTGGCTGCTCATGTCAATGGATGATGGGAAGGCTCAATCTCTGTGCCTGATCTAGGCTCTGAGTTACAAAGGATCCAGCAGACCATGGTGTAGCTCGTCTCAGCCCTGGCCCCACTCTACCCTTGGAAAGCCAAATTTCAGAACCATCTTCAAGGCTTACTGGCAGTAATACCACCAATTGCCCCCTGCCTACCTGCATGTGACAGGTTCAGGGTGGGATCTGTGGTCATAAAAGAATGCTTGTGGCCAGGGGAGCCTGGTACAGCTAACAAGAGTAAGCAAAGAGTCACCTCTGACTCATCCAGATCCCCATAGCCCCATGCAATTAATTCATTGCCTAATTAATTGGAATTTTGGTGAACTACCTACTATTCTAACTTTAAGGAATCTATTTTTAAAGATAAGTTCGTGAAATAGTATGTTCCTGCAGCATGAGGAAATTGTGCTGCGCCAATCTTGTGAAAGTCTTTTCATCTGAAACCTCAATAATTCTGTTCCTTCCCCATATGGAGGGGACTGCATTTGCCACATCCTCCTCCCCTGAGAGAATGATTGGGTTCAGCAGACAGACTTGGAACTTCTTGTAGAGATTCTTAAGGATCTTTCTTGTGTTTGTTTCCATATCCCAGAAGTAATGCTTATGTGGTCAGAGCTTTAGGAACTTATTATAAATATATATAAAGCAACATCTAGATCGATTAAATAAATATGGATAATAAATGCCACTCATGAAATATTTCATACACCATGCGCATGATGTATGAAAATAAAGCCCAAGGATGTTTTTATGTTCAGATAAAATGTGTTGTCTGTCTGTCTGTCTATCTATCTATCTATCTATCTATCTATCATCTATCTATCTATCTATCTATCATCTATATCTATCTATCATAGTGCTGCCCTTTCAAAAATAACAAATAAAACCTGACACTAGCCTAGTCAAACTGGGAAGCCTCAGGCTAACATTCCAAGAATCAATGGATGCCTGCACTATTTGACGACAATTATTAATGCTGTCAATCTTTTTTTATATGATTTTGAAAGACACTGCTCCTACAATGGCTGAACTATTTGGAAATCAGTCAGTGCAATGGGAGCATTGGATCCTACAGCTTGCTGAGAATGTGCCAGTGGGTGATTTCATTACTCACGTGAGATTCCATATACAATATAGACAAAGATCCCTTGGCAAGAACTAAATTCCTCCCACAAAGACAAGCTTCCAAGATGCTGATTCAACAAAACAAAATGCATTGAATCTCATGAGTAACAAGGTTTTAATAGCCTAAAGAGAATGTACTGGGGCAAATTGTACTTCTCAGACCTATGACAAGATAGCTAAAAAGAGAATTAGACAAGACAGAATTGTGGTGTGAAGCAGAGGACACCTAAAGGCTTTGATAGATGATAATTTGTGTTGTGTTCACTGGGAGCAATCCCAATAACCAACAGTGTAATTACAATTCAATAACAATCCCCAAAATTATTCTGCACCCCTAGCATCTTGCAATGGTGCAATTGTTGTGTTTCAGGTACCAAGGGACATGGTAAATGTAATTAGTGTAGATGCAAATGGCCTGGAAAGTAGGCATCTCAGGGCTACTTGCAGCTAGAATACATGCACAACAACGTATAGCTTACAGGGGGGTAGTTGTCCATAGCATGCCTTGTAAAACTACATGTCCAAATGACCGGCTACCAGGCATGCTGCCATAGTAGTAAACAATGCAGGAAGGTGGAAAGCCTCATCCAGTATCTCTTCTGTTACCAGTTTAGATGAAGGTTAAGGTGATGGTTCAAGAAATTGCAGAAAGAGGAGGCACCCAGAACCTGTCATGCTCATGATGACATTAATCTTCACTGTGTGGTAGGGTACCAAAATATGAATTGGGATGGGGCACTTTAGTTATTTATTTTGGGGGAAACAGCTCAGTGGGCAGTACCAATTATCCATAAAAGATAGAAGCATTGGACTATGATGACATCATGATGTTCATTTGTTGTGACATCCTGATGCCATGGATTTCTTTCTCTTCACCAGGATAAACCATGATGTGGCATGCAGGTGAGAAAATGAACTATGTCCTGACATGTTAGATGAACAAGACTTTGACACAGCCAGCCCTTCCTGGCAGCACTCTTGTGTTTCCCATGATGCCTTGTTCCACTGTGTGCATTTGAAAGTATGGAATGGTACTGTGGGAAAAGAATAAGTGTATGCTTGATGTGATCACAAAAAAAATGAATGCCCAATTTAGAAAAATTACTTCAGAATTTTAAAATGTTTGAAACCTTTATTTTACTAACTGTCAAGATGAAAGTGCACTCCATTTAAGCTCAAACATCAAAGCCTTGAAATAAGATAGAGAAGAAATAGATCACTAATTCTTACTGAAAGCACTAATTCTTAATGAAAGTAATGATATTCGTAAAAGAATATGCTTTCCCCCCTTTTTTACACTTTATGGACTTGATAATATTATGCACAATGAGGGAGAAGACTACTGCTAGGGAGGGAGCTGAGAAATGCCATTTATAACCATTCTGCTTCTACAAACAAAAATAGGAAATAAGTTGACCTCTTTGCTGACAGGCAGGTCTCTTGAAAGAATTATACAGGCTACTGTATGGTTGTACAGAATGGAAAACACAAACACAGTCTTATAGGTTTTTTTATTTGAATGGCTTAGAATCAAAGGAAATGATTTGTTTTTTAGGTCTATTCATCTTTTGATGGTGTTGGCATGTCATGTCAAAGAACAATTCCAGGGCCAAACTAAGTGCTCAGCAGAAAGCACTGTCTAGGAACCAAGGTTTCTGCTTCTTTGCCACAAACTGGCAGGGTAGCAAGGCTTTGCAGGTTTTTGGAGATGGGCTGATAGGTACATCTTATTCAAGCTATTGGCATTTCTGTTTATTCATCCTTGTATTCTTAAAAAGGATGTAGGACAGTAGCCCAAACATTAGTGCTGCCTAGATGGTACTGTAGAAATAAAAAGCATCCTCTGACTCATGGTGTCCAATTCTGCCTTGGTGGGATAGAGTGGCCTGTCTATCTGTGCCGAGAACTTTGTTCCATATAGGCGGCAGTTGGATTTACCTATATTGGAGGTAGTGTTTTAAATGTGCAGACGAAGTAATGCTTCTCAGTGGATATCAAAATGTCTGCTTGCATAATTGAATCTCTATTCTGCTGGATCTAACACTCGTCTAAGGCTAGTGTGTCTTAATTGATCACCAACTATTTAGATTGGCTTTGAGATGGCTATACATAAAAGAGATTTCACATTAACTTGGAGGCCAATGAAATCTAACAGCTCAATGCAGTTAGATCTAGGAGACATTTAAAACCTCTAATGATCTGCTAACTTTCCTTCATTTATGTTGCATTTGCACATTTGACTTCCCATACCTTCCATTTTCTGTCTACTGTTTTAATTTTGGCTTTTCATTATTAGTGGCATTAAACTGCTGTCTAACTGCATCGATATAGACCTACATTTTCCTAAATGAGAGCAAATGAGGTAAATCAGTGTATTTTATTTGATGTTTATGGTGCAATCAAAATGTTCGGAAGATGCTCACACAGTGTCCTAGAGACATTCTTTAGCAAAGGATAACGTAAATCAGCCCATATAGTACTAGCATCAGGAAGGCCCAATTGATTCTTCACTGAAACTCTCTAGAGTCAGCAAACTTTACACAGAAGAACATGTTGGCTCAATATCCTGTTAAATGCTATTAGATTGTTCAACCCATTCAAGTCTGCTAAGGTTATTGACTCTCATGTTCATTATTTTATATATGATATACCCCATGTGCTGAAGTATGTAATATGCCATGCACAGTTGTTAGATTTCTTTAAAAAAATGAAGTGAAACCATTGCAATATTGCTATACACTGTATGAACATTTTATGTATTGAAAAACTATATATAAACACACACAAACAGGTAGGCATTTCTCCTCTGGCATTTCTCTGTGTCTCTGCTTTGTTTTTTAAAATAGATTTATTCAACTGTTTAAGGTTAGCATAATAATTCATACAGCTCAGGTGCTTATCTCCTTTTATATGTAGACACCAGCATACTATCCTTAAAATCAATAGTAAAAGCCATGTTTATTTTCCTGCGCTAGACACTCTAACCTCATAATACATGTGGCTGAAAATTAATCACAGGGGAAGTAAACTGTGATCTTGTATCAGGGAGAGAATAACTTTGCATTATTCAGTATCATAACTGAAGGCAAATGTATTTCTAATCCTAACAATAGGAAATTAATTTGTTAACAGATCAATGTTAAGGGCCTCATAATATGAAAAATTAGTCATGGTTGCTGTATTGCAACCAGTTGCAAATATTGAACATATCTATTCAGGAAACATTTCCTTATCTAGAAGCAGTTTTGCCTGGGTATCACTAGTTGAATTTTTCCTGTGAATAGGGGCAAATAATACATGCAACATAGGGTTGCATCCAAATAAATGATTGCATGAGTGAAACAACTTCCATGAGTACAGCAGAACTCTCTCCTTCCTTTCTCCCCATGATCCTTCCAAATCTGCTTTGGGAGCAGATTTGGGGTTGTAACCTACATATTTGGGTTGTTCTGACACCGAACATGATAAAGTTGTAAAATACTTGGCACAATTAAGGTTTCATACTCTGTGCATTAAAACCCAAGCAGCATTAATAACATTGTGATTATGCATTGAGCATTTAAGCGATGTGGTATCTCAGTACAGCTTTCCCCAAATAGGTGGCTGCTTGGAACTTGGGACTACAGCTCTCATCAGCCCCAGCCAGCATGGTTGAGAGCACCAAGTTGGTAAAGCCTGTTATATACATACATGAGCAATTTGTTGTTTGATGTACTTTGAAATGTAGTGCAAATTCATGCCTGTTTCTCCACAATAGTGGTGAATCAGTCTTAGCAGTTGCAAAGTAAAAACAAGAATGATCTAATTTGGATGCTTGCATTCCTTCTCTTTAGGACACATTTTATCGAGGGAGCTTTGATAAAAGTTTTATAAAAAAACAAAAAAACCTATCCACTGTGCAAATAGAAAAGCAAGGATGTAGCCTACTAGATTTCCGGAATTAAGTTCAAGGTCACAGAAGTGAGAGTTAGCAGAAGAATTCCTAGATCCTCATACACCACTTGCATTGCACTGGTCAAAGCACTTAACTGTTATTTGCCCACATTATCCTGTTCTTCACAGCAGTCTTGAGTGTTACTTCCCTTCTCACAACATCACTGATTGTGAAGAATGCCTCACTAATTTTCACCTGGCATTCAAACGCTGCTGTGTCAAGTGCCATAAATAAATAAACATCAGAGAATATGCCCTGAATAAAATCCAAGAGCTTTTGAATAACTAATTGTGGGTAAATAGATCTCTGAACGGGTTCCTCACACTGACATTGCAGGGTTATTGGATTTTGCTTCCTCACTAAATCATGGCATCATGTAATTTGATTACAATGCATAAACACATGGCACCAGAATTATTCTACTGCAATTAGGCAACATGGTTTTCAGACCTAGAAAATGTGTACCTGCAGCCTGATCCACTCAGCAACTGTCTGAATAAGGTCCAAGTGATTTGGATCGTTGCACTGTTCTCTCAAACACAATTTGTTTTATGGCAGCAGGCATGGATACATTTCAATTCAAAATGAATAAATTGTCACAGTGCCAGTGGGCAAAGAAAGTTACTGTACACACCAGCTTATTAAACATGGCCAAATGGCCCACAACAGAAGATACAGGATACAGGAAACATTCCAGTAGCCCTCAGGGTGAATACTATTGAAACAGTCATTAAAATCAAGGAGGTTTCGGGGATTTTTTATTTTCTCTTATTAGAGTGCAATCTACCAAAACTATATGAAAACCGTTAATAACATGTACCATACAATCATTGCCTCTTTAGATGAAAAAAAGATGTGGCAACTAAATTTTTTGTTGGCTGCACCTCCATCTTGAAATGTATGTTCACCAACGTGGGACCAATTAATATGGCTTCAATGCATGATCCATTTATTTCAAAAATAACTCAGTTGAGTTAATGAAATTGCTCAGGAGTAAATGAGTTCTGGATTTCACCTTTAAAAGAATAGCTTCAGGGTTATATATCTGGCCAACATTGGGAAGATGTGTTCAGAAAAGTCTGCCATTTGTAAGTCCTTTGAAAGTATTGTGTCAAAACTAATATACGGAAGACTTAATATACAGAAGCTTTACTTAAATTGTTGGACTCATTGTTCATTATCAAAAAGCTATGTTTCTGTCCTCAGATAAAATAAAGAAATATAACTGATATAATTGGAATGTTTTTTCTTGAAAATTAATGTCTCTTTTGCAGTGGTGGAGCATGGGGGGCACAGGGGTGGTTGCCCTGGACACAAAATTGTTAAGGGGTGCAAAATTTCAACACCCAGTGCTGCCTCAATACAGCTGCCTGCTTCCATTGCTGGGCTCTGTTGAAATTTGCTTCTCCATGCAAACCAGGTAGTGACCTCTCCAGCCATCTCTCTGTGGCTGCAATGCCCTGGGTGACATGGACCCCGTTAGGCAATTGAATGTGCATGTGTACTCCATCCGTTTTCCTCACTCTCATGCAGTCCCAGACACTGGCAACACATGGTACGCCACTGCCAACCCTTGCTATGCCACTGCCCCTTTGTTCTAGGTTCCAAATGAATAATTTTCTATAACATCTTTGCTGTTTCCTTATTATGGAAAGACCGATAATATTGTGGTAAACTTTGTAAGTAAATAAGATTGAAATGGCAGTTCTAAATTTGAAGAAAAAGATGTTGTGATCAATATATACCTTCAGTTGAAGGGGGACCCTTTTTTTGCTTTCTGTAGTATGTGTGTGTGTGTGTTTACAATTACAGTGGTACCTCAGGTTAAGAACTTAATTCGTTCTGGAGGTCCGTTCTTAACCTGAAACTGTTCTTAACCTGAAGCACCACTTTAGCTAATGGGGCCTCCCGCTGCCATGCCGCTGCTGCCACATGATTTCTGTTCTCATCCTGAAGCAAAGTTCTTAACCTGAGGTACTATTTCTGGGTTAGCGGAGTCTGTAACATGAAGCGTCTGTAACCTGAAGCATCTGTAACCTGAGGTACCACTGTACATATTCCTAATCAAATGGCTCTTTAGCACTAAAATACTTTTAAATTATAGACTGACTTACCTCTGCTGGTTATATTATTAGATCATGGCTACAATATCCTGGGACAGCTATCTCTGAATAAACTCAGGTGAATTCCTCAGCTTTTCTTAAATGTTCAAGAGGGAAATCAGTAGCTGAAGTGAGCTGAGGAGTGTCAACAATCCCTTGAAAGATTAGGTACTTTTTGCTTACCTCTACAGCTAAGGCATCAGAGAAACTGTAGTAGGTTTGTTATCTCTATTGGGTGAAGTTAATAGATCCATAGAGAAACACAGCTACTTGTGAAGGACTCAAGGCACTTAGCAAACGGCTAGGATTAAAACTGCCAGTAACTGTTGACCACTCCCCAACATTGCTACAGAATCTTCTAGACTGACTCTACCCACTCTGGGCTCCTCATGGGCAGGAAGTTCGAAAATTAACTCTGAACCATCTTAAAGTTGTTGTGTGAATCACCGTGCCTTATTTTTTATTTTATTTTTTGCTGAACTATTGAATCTCCTTGCTGCTGCAGCTGATACATTTTTTCGTAAAATATATCTTAGCAATAATGTAACTTTTATTTGTTTAGAGCAAAGCAATGTCCTCATATTAAACAAAATATAGGCTTCCTATGCTTCAGGAACAAGTTTTTCCTCAATTTTGATGTAATTAAGTGAATTTTGTTGCTCTGAAATTATAAAAAAAGAGTGATGCTGTGGGGGAAAGCATTATTGCCTTTCTCCAAAATTGAATGGAAATCTAAATTCTTATTGCTGCTTAGGTAGGAATCTTTCTGTACAATTATACAGCTGCTCCCAAAAGTTTACAAACAAATGTTATATTTCTTTAGTCACATTCCCAGCTCTTTTATGATGACCAGGGAAACCATCTCCTTCATCAAAAGTAAAACATTTTATTTATACTTTGCGAACTCATTTCTTGTTTTTTATGCTGATTTTACACAAAACAAAACCATGCACAGCTGCTCTTTGGCAGATAAAAAGAATTTAAATTGCTGTAGCAAACTTGTGAGCGGAAATGTTTTCAGATGTTTACTGAATAAAATCACACAGGGAAAGGGCAAGTTTTATTTACTGTGGATTGTTTGCTTCTTAAAATGTTTTATCCTTTACTTGCTGCTAATTGATTATCTCTTCTTCATAGGTAGCAATTTTTCCAACTGGAAAAGGCTCCTGGTATCCAAATTGGATATTTTTTTTAATCCTATACAGGAGTGCAATGCTGTTGTAACTAATACAGTTAGTATCTGAGCAAGTTGCTAGCTAGCTAGCAGTCAAATATCCCAGTCTAGTGGACTAAATGGAGAATGGAAATGAGGGGCTCAGATGCATGTATGAAACTCCTTGACAACAGGACCTGCTCCATTTGAGTTAATGCTAGACCTATGTATCTAATACCATTGAATAAGTAGCACCTCCCATTAACAGGAGGTGGGCAGTTCCGTGAGTGCACACTGGAGAAACTGGGTGACAGCCATTGCTTAGAAATCCAAAGAACATCTGTACATTTCTTGCAAGTGCTTGATAAATAAATATTATCCTGAGAAGAAGTCAAAGAGGTCATGGTCAGAAGGTGTCTTGATCACTGTACTGTGGTCTACAGCTTAAAAATATATATATTTAACTGAGAAAAATGTGGTGATTTTCTCTCATATGTTCATGACAGAGCAATGTGACATATATTTCATAAAAGAAGCTTGGACATCTCACCTAGATAGATGTGCAGGGCAACAGCGATGAGGCTGAAATCCTGTTCCTTATATGTGGAAATCCCAGATTAGGAGAATGCTTTAACTGGGCTATAATCCATATGGGTGGTACCAAAGATATATACCGACATCTCTTTTACTTTAAGTTATGTGTTGCTATCAGCTAGTAGCCCCATTTTGATTAGTAGGCCATAATGGAGAAGGTTTGTGAGGGGCTATGGATGTAAACATGATGCTAATAACATGTTTGGTTCACTCCACAAGATTTTATTGTACATCAATTTTTCTCAGCTTGCTGTACGAATGAATTCCGGAGATAATCAGTTACAAAACATAACTGGCATTTTGATTCACAAGTATTTTAAGAAAATCACCTAACTGCTTATTTGGATGAAAATAAATTTAGACTGCCAGCAAATGTCATTCTTTAAAAAAAAAAAAACTTGACATAATAAATGATTTGGTAATTAACACATTCCCTTGATGCAAAGAGTATTCACATATTGCTAATTGAATATGATGGCTGGAAGCTGCCATCAAAATCTGGTGAGTACAGAAAATATATTAACTTTAGAAAGTTAATGAGACACATAGCTTTCACTCACATGTCAGTAGTTAGAATTTTATGGAAATATGTAATCCAGAATATGCTCCAACTCAGGGAGGAATAGTGCAGATCCTGTATCTTTCTCTACAGCCACAGCAGGTGCTGTAACCTTTCAGCAGTTTGACTTCACCCCCAAAGGCACACTCCTCCATTGTCTCCCAAGACAGATGGAGGCCAACAACAATTTACCGGTAGAAACTCATTCCAAACCTCTTGTGCCAATCTCATCAGCAATTTGAAAGATTCCATCAAGAAATTTGCTGAAAGGAAAACTTGGAGAAAAATACTGATGCATGTAGGAATGATAAATGTGTATTCAGAGGGAGTGCAATCCAAATGTATGATTATTCAATTCTTGAAAACTTTTTCAAAACAAATGAGAAACTGGCATTCCAGTGGGCTAATCAAGAAGTGAAAGAGAGCTGAATTTTGCAAGGTCTCTGGCATATATATTGTATTTTTTAATGTTTTGAATTGTTACAGAAAACAATGTCAGTTTTCTTGTATATTTTGACGTGCTGATGGCATACAGAATTAAATACAAAGGACACCAGATAGGCTTGCTCCCCAATCTGCCTATTTTATAGCTGCACAAACAATCTCATCTTCCAAGGCTCCTGTATTACATGTATACCCCAGTACAGGAGGCAGTGTTGATTACAGCATGTAAACAAGTGGATGAGTTGTCCATTTGCACCAGTGATGGACATAATAATTTATCTTGTACACTTGTTTTCAGAACGCATACAACTGAGATCCAAGTCACTAACACTGAGGAAATCAATATGACAGCCATTTGTATAATTAAAATATAATGGCGCAAGTCCAAGTCCTATGAATCTTTACTTTTATAATTAATAGACATTTGATCTGGTTCCTTAAGGGACTTACTCCAAACAGAGTATTCATATTCAAGCTTTTTTGAAATTGATGAGATATATATGGGGGAATACTAATACTGTACATTGATGGTTAATTGAATAGCTCCCATTTATTCAAAGGGGCATTGTGGATCCTGCGAAATCCCAGTGCATTCTGCTTAGGTTTGTACATTATCATTTAGATTCTCTTAGCACATTTGAGCTGGATTGCATGCTGAGTTAGTTCAACTTTATCAATATTAATATCTTTCCTTCTAATAGTAAGTTCAGGTGGTGAGTACCAACAGGATTGTAGCCAAAATGGGAACTTCTAGGATTTGCAGAATTACTAATCTCTCTCTCTCTCTCTCTCTCTCTCTCTCTCTCTCTCTCTCTTTCTCTCCTACCCACTCATGAAGAGCCCAAAAAAGACTGAGCATTTTCAGTAGCCTTGAAATATTGAATAGCAATGGGAATGGAAAGATGGAAAAGGTAGCAATGGAATGGAGTATCAGAGGAGGGCATGGCTGGCTGGATCCTTGAGCAAGAGTCCTCTTGTTAGGAGGTGATAATATTGCAACATTGCAGCTGCAATCATAAACACACTTAGCTTGAAGGAAGCTCATGTGAACTCAGTGGGACTAGGCATTTGCTGTTGTTGCAGGTCCCACTCGTATTACTTAGAGGGAATACAAAGAGTTACAAACTTACATCTTGTAATAGCCAAGACCAAAAGGGAAATGTAACAACTGTTATCAGAGGTAACCAACAAATACAACCCACCCAAAATCAGGGTTCTAAAGCACAGATGTAGTCTCTGGAAAAAAAACCCTTTCCTGAGTATTTTCCCCAGGCTTCCACATCTCTATAGCCTCCACAAGTATGTGGGGGTTGCCTCTGAACACAGAGAGGGTGACCAGAATTGTGACAGGAAGCAGATCTAGCACATTCACTCATCCCCATTGCCCTACTTAACTCATACTTCAAACGCCTGAAGTTAGCTTCAGTGAAGGACATGTCTAGGATGCATTTTAGCCCATCACCCATTTTATTCCTGTAAATATTTGTCATTGCCCTAATGCTGAATTTCTCATATACATTACATGATGTAACCTAAAAGATTTGAAAGCCATGTAAAAAATTGCAGTTATAATGCTAGTTTGATAGTAAAGAGTAGAAATGAGAAATATTTGCATCCTTCACAATATGTGTAGGTTGCAATCCCTGGTGTGCCTAGGAGAGGAATTCTGAGAAATAAATGTGCATTACACTTGCAGTACCCCAATTATGTTAGGCTTTGTAGGGAAATTTTATAAGCTGCCCAGCTGACAAGAGGATGAAGGAGTCTGTCTGCATGACCACAGAAATGGCTTCAAACACTCCGTGTCTCAAGACTAACAGCTGAATGGCCCACAGGGCATCTGTGTTGTACATAGGGGTCCAATGCATTTGAGAAACTAGCCCAAAGCCCTTTTCATATCTCCACGGGTGACAAGCTAAAACGGCTGGTGGCATAGGTAGGAAGTAATAAACAAGCAATGAGACTTAGATAAAACATTCCCGACCATAACTATATGTGACACTGGGAATAAAGAAAAATGTCCACATAAGGCACACAGCTTTTTATCTATCCTGAATTGCCTCACACATCATCTGAGGTTTTGCTTTCATAATTTCTAGCCTAGAATTTTTTTGTATTGTTTTGCTCTAAAGGAAGAAACCAGAACACATATTGTACAGCTCCAGCATGACTTTCCTTGAAATCAAGGGCACAATTTAACTTCACTCAGCACTAGGGGCAAGTGAAAGGGGAAGCATCTTCATCTCAGTCTGAAAATTCAGCACTTCCTCCAGACAAGTTTCAAGACTGAAGCTAATTATCGTCTCTGCCAGGGATGAAGACACTTAAAAAAAAGAAAAAGAAAAAATGAACAGAATTAACAATGGTAAAATTACCTGTCTTACAAGTGATGCTGAACAGGGTTAATTCTTTAAGTGGATAAAATCACAGAAGCGTTTTACAGACTGAGTGGCAGTGGCAGAATATAAAAAGCAGGTAGAGATGACCCTTTCTTTAAACCTTTTGCCCTGAGAATGCAAGTAGTTCACCAATTAACTTCCAGCTTTAGCATTAGAAGTATGCCAGAGTTTTAATACATGACAAGGACTCAGCATTCTGTTCTTCCTCTCCCTTCACTGAATCATTCCCCGATTTAAAATTAATGTGAAATGCATGCAGCAGGCATATTTTTTTAGGATCTGACTGCAAATCGCAAAACAAAAAAGCATAAAGAACATTTGCTTTTGACATATTTAACAGATAAACAAATGATCTAGTTTCTGACAATATGGAGCTGGTTCTGAAGATTTTTTTTAATAGCCTTTCTTACAATTGGATCTTGCAATTTGTATAACATACTAAGCAGATGTTCATATTGTGGATGCTTTTGCTGGTCCCTAATGTATTATAGTTACTGTGGCTCTTTTTCTCCAGTGCCTCATGAGGAATTGAAAGAAAAGCAGCAAAACTACCTCAAATATATACGATAGAAACTCTGTTTGAGTGGGGGGGCTGGGGTCTCCCCAAACCAATGATGTGATACTCACCCAGTAAATTTGCTTTAGTGCCACTACCATATTTAGTGCCACTACCATATTCTGTACTTTTTATGTACAGTGGTACCTCAGGTTACAGACGCTTTGGGTTACAGACGCTTTGGGTTAGAAACTCCGCTAACCAGGAAGTGGTTGCTCCAGGTTAATAACTTTGCCCCAGGATAAGAACAGAAATCGCTTGCTGTGGCGATCACACAGGGTCTCCAGACGTTTCACTGTCTATTGATCCCTGTGCCACCACTTTCTTTCTCGCTGCCACCACCCAGGCCCTACCTGGGACAATACTGAGTCCAGTCAGGGTTACATTGAAACATAAACTTTTGTTTGTTTATTGCAGTTTAACAAGTGTGTGTTTAAACAGTATCAGTCAATTACATTCATGGGGTGCCTATCCAGTCCTATAAATTTCGCTAGCTGCTCTCACTAAACCACCTCTCCGATATTTACTTGTCTGCCTAGCCCCTAACTGTTCCTGACTCAGCCTATTTCATTACACTAACTCAACCTACCCACCACTCTAGCCCAATTCACTCCCATTCCAACCAACCACCCAACTCCCAACAAACTCCTCCTTTTGCCTGTCCCAGAGCTGGCCCTGACTGGGCAACCTGTCTAACTATTTCATCTCCAGCACTCTCTCATATGTTAATGTCACACTCTCCAGTGGCACAGTGGCAGCAGGAGGCCCCATTAGCAAAAGCATGTTTCAGGTTAAGAACGGAGCTCTGGAACAAATTAAGTGCTTAACCCGAGGTACCACTGTACTAAACTAGACTAAAGTTGGGATCTCACATGCTTTAATGTTGCACCATACAATATCCCTCCACATATAAAACTAGAAGGTAAAGCAAACAAGTTCTAGGCTTTATTTCACCTTGAAATCTGACTTTCTGTGGGTAAGGATCCCCACCCTGATGCTCAGTTAGTCATGCAATCTGAATTAGCACAGGCCAGGTGGAAGCTTATCTTGGTAAAAACTTAACTCATTTCTCTGTTAGGGAACTGCAAATACAGGAACCAAATTCAAGCCCAACTCTGCAGAGGTTGATGGGCAGCAATGGGAACAAATCTTAGAAGTGCTGCTGCAAATCCATGTTTGTTGACAGCAAAGATGCATTTCTAAAAATGACATTGCTCACTGTTGTTTTGACTTAGACATAAGAAATTAATTTCACAGAACATTGTACAAGCTAATGAATATGCTCATAATAGTAACCGAAAGTCTCTCAAGCAGAGTTGGGATGGAAGTTTCCACACCTGCTCATGTCTCTTCACTGAAGTAAATAACAAGCAACTGCAGATACAATAGTTAAGGATGCCTTTGTGAGAGCACGTAGCTGATGACAGAGACTTCTGAACATAGCTGTCAACGTTTCCCTTTTTTTAAGGGAAATTCCCTTATTCCGAATAGGATTCCTTGCAAGAAAAGGGAAAAGTTGACAACTACGCTTCTGAACAATATCAGCAAATGGCAATTGCCCTTCCTACACCATTTAATGTTATTAATGTATCAGCAAGGTACAGTAATACGCTTTTCCCATTTTTGTTTGCATCTTCAGTCAGAAAAGTTGTTAGTATTCTATCTAGAGACTGATGTTACTTCTTTGTGAGCACAAGTGTAAAGTTTTTTTATCCATAAAAAGCTTGATAAGTAAAAATGTTGGGGTGTTGTAACTTCCTGATGCAATGTATGTGAATTATCTATCATCTATCTATCACAGCCTTTCTCAACCTGTGGGTCCCCAGATGTTGTTGAACTACAAATCCCATCACCCCTAGCTAGCAAGGCCAGAGCTCAGGGATGATGGGAGTTGTAGTCCAACAATATCTGGGGACCCACAGGTTGAGAACCGCTGATCACAACCTATTCCTGAGAAACCAAAACTGAATAATTTGTCTATCCTTAATCTTCACTGGTTGAAGATTTCAAATTTTGTTTTGATTTCACAAAATTTTCACATTTTGACTGTGTTGTGTTTTGCCTGTTGTTCATTAGTTGAATGAATCTGGTGCTTCTTGCAATGGAGAAAACAGTTCCAGTATTTCATAGGCCATTGGCAGCGTGGTGGTATACAGAGAATGTCTCATTTCTGTGACATATGATATCCTCTGTTACACTTCACAAGGGAGGAACATGTGCTTGATATCTAAAATTCAAGGAATGGCGTTTCTTTGCTTTAATCTCCAGCTGCTCAGATAATCTAATATACTACATTAATTAAATTCCTATTTTTGAACTGTTTCTTAGCCTTGGCTGTTTATACATAAAATAAACCTTTCAAATTAAATTGAAATGTTTATTGCGAGTCCCCACCTCATTTTAAGAAACCATTGTGAGGTAATATTGACTAGAAATAAATGGCATTGGCATGTGTTTTCAAGAAAAAAAATATTACATTCCATTTTAGAACAGAAGGTTAATGTAATATTATATCAGCTGTTCATCATCTGGGCAGAAAAATATTTTATCTAAATTGATCACAATATGGCTTTGAGCTGCCAATACTTAGAGGCTTTGGTGAAGACTAATATAGTGTGGATATAATTGCCCAGATCCAACAATCCAACCAGGAGTAAGTCAATGTGCAGGAAAGCTGTGAATGGGAATTTCTGGCATCCAGTCCTCTAGAGCTCCTGGTGGCAACATCACAAAGGGGATGAAGTTCATTTGCACCATCATGCATCCAACACACTGTTGCATGAGAGATCATCCGTACAGTAGAGCCATTAACAGTCTACTGCATGTCTACTCAGACGCAAACCCATTTAGTTAAATTGGGCTTACTTCCAAGTAACTGTGTGTAGCATTGTAGTTGCAGTCTGCAATTCAGTATCCACTGGGACCAAGCTCCAATGAACTCAGTGGGAGGTCAGACGTTTCTTGTCCATATTTCAATTCTAGCAGTGGCAGGAGTCAAATTGGCATTTTGATGCTGGAGAGGAAGAAATTATCTTCATTTTTCCTTTGGGGGACTCCCCGGACTAGATTTTTGGAATGTGCAAGTGAAGAAGAGGAAATGGAAGTCCTGTTGCATGGGCAAAAATTCTCTCACAAAACACAGGATAAAACTCTATAATATCTGCTAAGAGTACTGTACGTATGGTGGGAAACTGATGGCAACCATAACTCCTTCAAACATGCACATGTGGACAAGAAAAGAGACTCAAATCTGCTACTTTATGTTTCTTCACATTACACATTCTGCAAAAGGTAATTTTGCAGTATGCAAAAGACAACACATCGCATTCCATTATACAAACATCAGCTATTCAAAATCCCTGATAATTCAGCCCTGAATTCCCTAAACAATATCATGCTAGTGTAATATTATGTAAAGCAATTTTGTCTCTCTATGTGTGTACATTTCTGATTTTTTTTGGGGGGGGGACTCCTGCAGGCTATTTAGATAAGTGAGATAATACCAGTGTAACAAATACAATGTATGTCATTTCCCTCTCTATGCTGGAGAAAGATTACAAACTTGGTGTATACTGTATCTACTGGCTTCCTTGCAGTTACAGTTTCATCTATAAACAATATCTTTTATAGGCTGTCTTTGGCAATGTGAGATTTCTCAGTCTTCTGGAAACATGCTTTCTTTTGACACTTTACCCTGTTTGGTCTTTGCTACTCTATTATTTATTGCAAAATGAAATGGGTTTGCCCTACTAACTTTATATTTATTCAGCTGTCAGTTCTTCTATCATGTTATACACAGTTAATTACTTCAAGGGTTCAGACTTGTATGGCTGAAGTCAGCTGAAGATCTGTCACTGGTGTCAGCTGAAACCACAGTTGTATCAAGGGGTGAAACCTGATTTTCACCAGGGTCAATCATCCTCTTGAATTAAGGGAAAAAAATCACTGCTTTGTGGTAGGGAAACATTTTTTTAAAAATATCAAAGTGATCTTAAGAGAAGCATTACCAAGTTTATATAAATGTGTCTAGAATCAGCGCAACTGAAATCTTTGGAAGTCAGTCTGTCAAAACACATTGGAAACCTAAAGTGCCTTTAAAAGCAATATTTTGCCTCCTATCTTACCAAAGATGTATACAGTCGTACCTTGGCTTTGGAACAGCTTAGTTCCCAAACACGCACCTGCAAACACAGAAGTAAGTGTTCTGGTTTGTGAACTATTTTTGGAAGCCGAACATCCAATGGGGCTTCTGAGGCTTCCGATTGGCTGTAGGAGCTTCCTATAGCCAATCAGAAGCCACACTTTGGTTTCCGAACGTTTTGGAAGTTGAACTGACTTCCGGAACAGTTTCTGTCCGACTTCCAAGGTACGACTGTACTTTTAAAGATCTACAACCAGGAATGAATTTTACTGAGCAATGAAGGCTCAGATAAAAAAACAAAACACCAGAATGTGGGGTGGTAATCAAGCCCACACCCCAAGGGGCTGTTGAGAGTCCCATGGTCACAAGCAGTACCCCCAACCTCTCTTTACAGATATTTTGCTCTTGGGTACTAGTGATCAATTCATACTTCTTAGAGTCCTGCTAGAAATGGGCATTGCTATGACCATGATGGTACACAGAATAGCTAATATATGGGGATGAATCAGTCTATTTCTAGTCACTCTCAGTTCTTCAGAAGGCTTCTCTACTCCATGTCTGCTTTGATCTGTGATATCTTTTTTCTAAAAAAGCAACAAAAATTCATATTTAAATATGTAAATTCTCTCTCTTTCTCTCTCTTTCACACACACACACACACACACACACTCTTACAAAATATATACCTTTCTAGACATATGTTATCTCAAAATATGCATTTTAAAATACATATTGATGCATATATTAAGTGCTGAATTCATAAAAAAATTGGGAGTAGAAAATCCATCAAGGAGTCCATATTGCCGTAAGTACAGTAACAACGTGAGGCTAATATACTTGCCCCACATCAGTCTACATGACCGCTTTGATTTACAGAGATTGCACTTTTATAAGTGCTATATAATGTTCACTCCACATCTCTTAGGAGGATTTTTTTTTCAGTAACACAGGACCTATGCTTTGGAACTTTTTATCTAGTAACATTAGGCAGGCTCCATCATCAAACTGTTTTGGATGTGTGTTAAAACCTTTATATTATTATTTAAATAAACATATCCAGAAGTATAATTTATTATTTGCATTTAAATTTTGCTGATTTTATCTGTGTATTATGGGTAATTATAATTACCAATTATTTTATAATTATACAGTGGTGCCTCGCAAGACGAAATTAATTCGTTCCGCGAGTTTTGTCGTCTTGCGAAGCACGGTGTCGGGAAAGTTTTGGAAAAGCTTCAAAAATCACCAAAGTCTTTAAAAACCTCAAAAAAGGCTACCACACCACGTTCTATGAGTTGCTCCTCAAAGTCAAGTCACAACTGTATTAACGGTGTTAAGAAAAAGGAAACAAACTTGCAAGACATTATCGTCTTGCGAAGCAAGCCCATCGGGAAAATCGTCTTGCGAAGCAGCTCAAAAAACAAAAAACCCTTTCGTCTAGCGAGTTTTTTGTCTTGCGAGGCATTCGTCTTGCGAGATACCACTGTAGTTTAGAATTCCCCCCTACTAAAATAAAGAAAGTAAGTCTCTTTCTGCAAGTAGGCCTAGGCCATCCCACTATGCTTTTATATTTCTTTTAATAGGTTCACAATCAGACAACAGGCTTGTGCAATCTTTGTAGTGGCCAAATGTGAGCCTATACTGCTGCCACAAACACAATGATACCCTGAAAAATTAATTTAGCTGGACAAATAGGATGCAAATATGTACTGTCGAGCCTGGAAAGGAGACTAAGAGGAGATATGATAGCCACCTTCAAATATCTTAACGGCTGTCACTTGGAAGATGCTGCAAGCTTGTTTTCTCCTGCTCTGGAGGGTTGGACTTGAACCAATGGCTTCAAGTTACAAGAAAAAAGATTCTGACCAAACATCAGGAAGAACTTTCTGACAATAAGAGCTGTTTGATGGTGGAACAGTCTTCCTTGGGAGGTTGTGGACTCTCCTTCATTGGAGGTTTTTAAGAAGAGGTTGGATGTGTCATGAATTCTACTCATATTGATCCAGAGCAGAACTGCAACGTATAGTTAGCAGAGTAAAAACTTAAACACGTTGCAGGATCCCCCCAAAATAGACCAGACACAATTAATATTTCATTCAGCAGAGCTTTATTGCTACTGAAGGCAAATGAGCATATTGGTCACAAATCCAATACATTCAGGATTGGCACTGTCCATAAGAAATCCAGTTGCAGCAGACTTAACTTACAAGAACTTACAATGAGTCTAAACCGTAATACTATATACAGAACACCACAACAGAAAGAAAAAGAGATAGAAAAGAGTGAAACCCAGGTTCCTTCTGGCCTTATTATAATAGTCAGCATGACCTTGACAGAAAGAGATAACAGAACCAGTTTAAGCCAGCTGTACTCAGCTTCTCTGAAGGAATAACCCAAACATCATGAACCTTCTGTTTATTTCACACAGAGAAGCTTCCAGAACCCTGTTGAATTAATTAGAATAGGAAAGATCTCTACACATTAGATCAGGCAGAGGGAAACTCCAGCCCTCCAGATGTTTGGGACTACAATTCCCATCATCCCTAGCTAACAGGACCAGTGGTCAGGGATGATGGGAATTGTAGTCCCAAACATCTGGAAGGCCGGAGTTTGCCTGTGCCTGTGTTAGATCAATACTTTCTGTACCAAGAAATACAAACTGACAGGATGGCCATATGTCATTAATGCTTTAGCTGAGATTCCTTCATTGCAGGGGGTTGGACTAGATTGCCTTTGGGAGAGCATTCCAACTATATGATTCTATGACTCATTTTCCTGGGAGTAAGTCCCATTCAAATCAATGGGGCTTCTGAGTCAACAGATGTAGAATTACACTCTTGATTATTATATGTATTTTCAGTACTCGGGCAAACTCATACTTTGGTTAAATCCCCAACTCCAACATTTCCTACCTGTTAGGGAACCATGATCCTGGCCCATACATTTTGAATTACATTTACCCGAGAGGACTCAAATTAAGGACACACATGCCGGACCCACTCCCTATATCCCTAGAGGCAACAGATGCCCCACTCCATTTCTGGCCTTCACTCTTTGAAGGGAAAGGTCTGAAAGGGACCTCCACATTTGTTCTACTGAGCATATACGAAACTCACCCGCACCCTATGATGGGTAACCCTGTGTTATGAGGAACCTTCTAAGCACACACAGTTCGAGTATTTTTGAATTCTTCAAAGAGGTCTGTGCAGACTAAGGCCTACAAAGCCTTTGCTGGTGTCTTTTCTCTTTCCTGTTCTGTGTTAAAGTTCTTTCCCATTAAAAGACAAAGCAAGGTGATTTCAAACTCTCTTTGTGTAAAAGTGACTTGTAAATGCAAGGCATAGCAGTAGAACGTATGATGTGGGAATTCTTTGTTACTGTTGCTGAGTAAATATGCTCTTTATCTAAATACAGTATCTACTCTATTCAAGTTAGGTCTGCTGATTAGAGCACCACCTGGGAAATCAAAATTCATAACACATTAAGCCACTGTGTCTGCTGATACCCTGGCTTACTTTTTAATACCGAAGGTGCCAATTCCATCACTGCTGATGGACAGAAGAATTTATTTCATCTAGAGTGGTGCTGTTGTGGTCATTGTGAGTGTTTTGATTGCTAATCTTTCCATGCATGCTTTGTGTTTGTGTGTTCCCATTATTTATTTTATTTAAATTAATTGCATAGTGTCTTTTATTTCAAACAAATACCAAGGTAGGCTACAGGATAACAAGACAACAACAACAACAACATTAAAGCTACTAGGAGCTAGTGTTTCTCCCTAACTACTAGACCATTGAAGTTGGACTTTAGACTTCCTGGCTCAGCTCATGCTCACTGATAGCCTTACTGAGTGAAAAACCATGATCTCAGCTTGTGATAAACTATATACTATGGATAAACTAAGAATAATTCATTACATCTTTGCAGTGAAGAGAAATGAAATAAGGAACTGCGATTACTTGCATGAATATTGGCAAAGGGAGGTATTAAATAAACAAAATAATGGTTTTATTTTTTAGAGGAATTGCTTTAAGTTCTTATAGGATCATACAGCATAAAGGGTTGTCTGTTCTGGTCCTAAGGAAGATCCTCCCAGAAACAAATGAGTAAGGCAGCAAGGTGAGCAACTTGATCCAACAACATCTGGAATCAGGTGAAAGCTTTAGATGTCTTGACATCTAGCTTTCATTCTCCTTGAAAAGTGGAACTCCTCAGAGGAGCAGGCTTCTGATATATAGCCTAGCACCCTTTCCAAGATCTCATGCTGGGCACACTGTCTGCACTGGTTCATTGGCTCTGTGCAGTGTGAAGCCATTCAAAACAAGTATTATGGGCCTCCATTGGACACTGGTTTGTTGTCTGCAGACTCTGGTCCGGGTCTAGGAGCCACTTACAGTGATTCCTCGGGTTACAGACGCTTCAGGTTACAGACGCTTCAGGTTTCAGTTTCTAGACACTTCAGGTTACAGATTCCACTAACCAGAAATAGTACCTCGGGTTAAGAACTTTGCTTCAGGTTGAAAACAGAAATCGCATGGCGGCGGTGCTATGGCAGTGGGAGGCCCCATTAGCTAAAGTGGTACCTCAGGTTAAGAACAGTTTCAGGTTAAGAACGGACCTCCAGAACAAATTAAGTTCTTAACCTGAGGTACCACTGTACTAAATCAGTGATCTTTGACATTGTGCTTATAGAGGTCTGTGGCATCCTGGGCTCAGGGATCTGACAGCAGTATTCTCCCAACATTCCCCCTAGAACAGGGGAAAACATACACACACACCCCAGTAAGGGATCCAGTGTTTTGATGTTGTCTTCCATTGGGACCATTGGGAGGGAAGAGTGGGGTGTGGTGAGAAAGATTAGGAAGGCTTTGGAACTGGTGGTTCCCTTTGTCGGCATCCTTCGGGGGTTGAGATGCCAGCTGGCTAGCCCCCAGCTGGATCATGCCCTTCCAGCCATGACGATCTCCCAATCTCTGGTGCGACGTAAATCAGCGACTCAGACTTCAAAGCCTGAGCACACTATATCAGCAGAGCATACTGCACAAACAGAAGTGGCGTGAGGCTTGTGGAAACATACTAAAAGCTAAAGATTTATTCAGCATAAATCAGGACAAAAGAAACAGGTCATCTCCCTTTCTTCTCCTCGGAGAGACAGTCAAAAAGCAAAAGCTATACACATAACGGAAGTTCCCAGCAGAATGTGCTGGAACGTAAACAGACATGTGACACGCAACAGTTCCATGTCTGTAACTAAAGGTGGAATGGAATTTTCCAACACCCCTGCCATAGAGTCTCCCTCCCATGTCTCCAGAGGACTGCTCTGTAAAATAGTAATTGTTGTAACAAAATTTAAAAAATCCTTCCAGTAGCACCTTAGAGACCAACTAAGTTTGTTCGGATAAGAAGTGTGCATGCACACAAAAGCTCACACCAATAACAAACTTAGTTGGTCTCTAAGGTGCTACTGGAAGGATTTTTTTAAATTTTTTTTTTGACTACAGCAGACCAACACATCTATCTACCTGTAACTAGTAATTGTTGTGTCGCCCTCAGAGAGGAGAGTGCTGACCATCTGTTTAGAATGGGAAGAGCAGGGTCAGTGCTGCTTGGGAACAGCCATAGATATCCTGCTTTCTGCCGTGGTTGATGATCTCTGGATTGAAGCTCTGCTTACATGTAGTAGGTTTTATAAATATATGTATAAGCTGTGAGGCTTTCATCTGCAGCCACTCAAATGCCTTTTTGGAACATCCTTGAATGTAAACATATTGAACTTGTCTTAACAAGTGCCACCATGTCACAGTATTCAAACTCTACAGATCTGAATGTAAAAACAAATATTACCTGGGGGCATGCATGTCCTACAAATCCTGCACGACTGTGGCATATATGTCAGAATTTAACTTCTCTGGCAGTGTCACCTTCCCTGACATATTCATTGGTACTTGTAATTTTCTACTTGCCTTTTCTACTTGCTACAACCCCAGCTTATTCTATTCAAAGCACATGTCAGTGCAGAGCATTGCATCACATTTGCATGCTCATTTCAGCCTCAAAATATCTTACTGTTACAGGCAGTGACATTTGGTTATATTTTGCAATGTGCTGTCTTTAACAAAAAGAAAGAAGCCCTCTGACTTTTGACACGGTTCTGAAATATTTAAACAAAACCATCTGAGTTAGTTATCTGTATGTGTGAGTTTTGATGTGGGGTCACTCGTACCGCACAATTTTGTGCTTGTTGTTGTGGGATTTATTTATGTCAATTTTTCTGTTAGAAAAGTCATTTTAGACTCATCTTACATTTAAGCTAAAGAAGCTTACCATCCTTTTGGACTTTTAATTAAATGGCACCCTCTGATTGCCACGTTCTCATATTCTAGGTTGGAGATCAATGATTGTATAAGAAATACATACAACCCAGGGAAGAGAAAAGGAGGGAAGGCAGCAATCCAGGACCAGTTGAGCTTTTGAGACAGGACTAGGGAACCGCTCATCCTCTAGATGTTGTCGGACTACAGTTCCCTTCATTTCTAACCATTGGCCCTTATAGTTGGGATTCATAGCAGGCGAGTCATGCAACATTGGGAGGGCCACAGATTCTCAAACCGTGTTCTAAGATGCCCTAAATGTAAAAGTGTATTCAACCCAATACATTTTATTTAAAATATTTGTCAGGGTGGGGGCACTGTAAAATGAAACATCATTCTGTGTCTCATCAATGAAGTTATTAATACACAAGTGGACACACTGTGTGCCAATTAGCAGAACGTCCCCATGTGAACTCCCCTGGATCACCTGTGGAGCTTGCTGTCTTTCATTGACATTTACAGTGACTTTGAAGTCCACATATTCTTCAGGGAAAAAGAAGCCTATGCTTGACCTGGAGAAATCCCTGTGGGAGGAGCTAAATAGGCAGTGCCGTTGTTCTTTTTTCAGATGTGTCATAGTTCAATGGTAGAGCCATGCTTTGATCTCCAGTTCCATTCCCATCATCTCCAAGTAAATGGATAAGGTAGCAGAGGTGTGAACTATCTCTTCCTGAGATCCTGGAGAGCTACATCAGTCAATGCAGACAATACTGGGCCTGAAAGATAAATGACCTGACTGTACAAAGCAAATCCCTACATTCTCCTAAGCTATGGTGGGGGAAGAAATGCAAGGAAGGAAATAAGCAAAAATGGTATCCTTTCCTGTTCTGCTGATGGAAACATCTGCTGGATCAAATAATATTATTTCTATGAGGGGCTGGTGTTGGATACAATATATTAAGTCTAAACTTTCCCCTGCAGTTTCTCCTGAATTTTTCCTTGAGTCTTGTAGGCCTTGTTGTATCCTAGGTTTTGATGGAGGAAGAGATCAGACCTACCAGAGGAACCGGACTGGGTAATGCAAGAAGTCAGTGTATAAGAGGCTAATGACTTCTTCCTACTTGAGCATATGGGATCATTGTTTTAGGTGAAGCACATCACTTTTAAAGCAGAGGTGGACAACCCTAGGCCAGTGGGCCAAGTGACTTCTCTGTCTGGCCTTTGCAACTCTTCTCAGATTATGCCCCCTCTTCATTCACACAAGGCCTCCCCAGGCCACACTCCTCCCCAACTCTTACTTCATATCCCCTTTGAGTTATTCTGCTTGGTTGGAATGGGTCCAACCTGTGTGGACAATTAGAGGGGATTGTGAGTTTGTGAGTCTGTGTAGAAACTAGCCTGCTGCACAATGATAAAATTTGCATTTCTTGCTTTTCCCACTTTTGAACCTGGCCCCATTTAGTACTGTTATGTGGCTCCCAAAAAGATGCCAGAAGGAAATGTGTCCCTCAGTCTGAACAAGTTTCTCCACCCCTATTTTAATGTGCAGGATGATTTTGTAGGAACTTATAACTGAAAACAAAATATGCAATACATAAAGTAGCGTAAAAAGGTACTTTTAGGGAGTATTCTTGTCCTTAGTTGGCTTTGTGACTCGCTTGTTTCCCTGTGATCCTGCAGGTGTTAAATATAAACTTTTGTCCTTTGCCATGCAAAACACAGCCCATCCTTGCAATAAGTTTTTGTGTATGAAGTGAAAGCTGCTACTGATTTCCCTAACTAATTAGGGGAGAGAAAAATAATCTCACCCTCTCATTCCTATTTTCTTTATTTTTTTGATGTTCTTATTTTGAAAACTGAAGAGAGAAATGAAAGCCAAGAAATGTTTCTATTTGATAAGTAAGACAAATTCTTCTCTTTGATTCTAGGAGTGCACAGCTTCCCAAACAAGCATAGCTGAGGTAGTTTTGCTACACAGAATGAGACTGGATCAGAGATACAAATTTGTGTGTTTATAAAAAAAAGTTAGATATAAAACTTTAAATATGTTATTTCCCTTGTTTTACTTCCAAGTGAAAGCAAACTCCCTGAAATAGTTCTGAAAAACAACAACAAGTAATCAAGTCTGTTGCTTTGGGTCTGGTAGAAGGACCTATCCAAAAAATTTCAAAAAATAAACATTACAATTCTTTTTTTGAATTTGAGTATTTCATCAGTAAGCTATTAATAAGTTTTATGAAAATGATATATAGAAAACCTAGAAGCCATTTGACTGCTTAGAAGGCCATCTTGGCAAATAAGAGGTTCTTAAAACAGCAGCAGCAACAACAACTGCTTAACTAAGTGCTTTCAAGGGAGGGCTTTGTTTCTACACCAGGGGTGGGGAACCTATTTTTCCAGACCAAGAACTGCATTCCCTTCTGGGCCGCCTTCCCAGAGTCACATTCCTGTGGCTGAAATTGGATGGAGCAATGGATGTCAATGTTGCCTTTGTATAGGAACCTAGTTTCTATACACACTCACATATTCCTCCCTATCCTCAATGCAAGGCAAGCATGAAGCACTATTAGCTCAAAATCATTTTCAAGCTAGGGAAAAACACTTCAGGTACAAAGCATAGGAGTAAGCACCAGAAGGGTTTGGAAGTCCAGATGGAGAGTCCTGGAGTGCTCAGTTAATCCCCAGGTCCGAGGACCACCACCCCAGCTCTGGATTTGGTGATGGGCTATGTTTTCCTTACTGGGAAATGTTTTCCACCCTATCTATCCTATGCCATTGGAGGATCAGGTTGGTATTATTTGCTTCAGCCTGTTTTGGTCAGATATGTGTCTCATTACATCACAATGACTAGGTTCACTTTGGGATCTATTTTGTCATACCACATGTAGACCAAGTTTTGTCCCCTTTGTCCTGTGCCCATGTAAAAGTAGGATTTCCAACCCAGCAAATTACACATCGAGTTTGTGCTGTAACTGATGCTTACATTGAGACATCACATTTACGTTTTAATCATGTGAGGAATCACATTCAAGCTGCCTCTATTTTAAAATTTACCACATGAGAAGCGGTAGATCACAAAGCATGGTCAAACCACATTGCCTGGCATATTCCATTGAATGGGAGTGTGGGACTTTGCCTAACTGAAGAGCTGACCAAGTACAGGTGATTTGTTACCATAACAGCTAGTAGTCTGCAGTGTTGTTTGGAAGCAATAACATCAATATAACATATACCAGGCATGGGCAAACTCGGCCCTCCAGATGTTTTGGGTCTACAATTCCCATCATCCCTGACCACTGGTCCTGTTAGCTAGGGATGATGGGAGTTGTAGTCCCAAAAGATCTGGAGGGCCACGTTTGCCCATGCTTGACATATAATATGTTGTCAAATTACAGGTAACATTTCTCCCCCCCCCCCCAGATTAAAACAAATATGAAATAATTAACAACTGATGGACTATGTAAAAAGAGGGCAGGTTGGAAGGGGGTTAGTTCCAGAACAAATTCATTGATGCCTGAAAACCCAAACATATGCATGAATGCAAATTTGGATAATTTCCCCAAGATCTCCAGGTTCAGCACAAGCTTGAGATGAAAGTCAGTGGGTGCACCCATGGGCACCATGACACCTCATATTGGTGTGCCACCACTTATTAATGTCCTGGTGGGACCTGAAAGGTAACTGCCCTTGAATGATAGCAGTATTATTGGCCACAATGTTCCCCAGCCGAGGAGAGAATGCCACTGTCACAAGCCTTCTTGGTCGCATCTCTGAGTAGACCAGCAGTAGGAAGAAGTGGCGATAGGTAGATCTGTCCATTTCAGTTTCTCTCTCTGTTTCTCATTTTTCCAGTGTAGATATTTAGTGCTCCACATTTCCACATCTGTTTGCATTCTTTTAAAAAAATATATATGAAAAGGTGTTGTGGCAATTCATCAGCATTTTAGTCTGAATATCTTCTAGTACACATATTTTTGTATGCAATTTTGTCAAACATGCAATTTTGCAAATCAGTTCCCCCTAATATGCATTCTTATATATTATTTTCACCAATGTATGCATTTTGATGAGCCCTTTACCCTGGCATATGCATTTCTGCACACATTACTTGGCTTGAGGATTGTATTGCAAAATCTGGAAAAGCACAAATTTCAAAGGATGGTTGTGTTTTACTTCTTGCATTGTTCTGCAAAGTGTGCATTCAATAGTTTTGCCTTTCAGTGCAAACTGAATTGATTCCCCCCCCTCCCCTAAGAGGAATGACCTATATTGGGGACTAATTTGATGCTTTGTGCAGGGCAGAATCACCCCATAAAGGCAGGCAATAGAAAACATTGCTTCCTAGACCTCGCTTTGGAAGCAGATCATAGATACAGGAAATGAGAAAGGAGTGAACTTGGGCTTTCAAGAAGCTGCTGATAAAGTTCCCCACTAAAGACTCTGGAGTAAGCTTAGCAGTTATGAAATAAGAGGACAGGTTCAGCAACTGCTTAAAGAACAAGAAGCAGACAGATGAAATAAATGGACATAGATTGGATGCATAAAGCCAGTCAAGATTGCTAGTGTTGAAATCCTTTGGATTTCCACATTTTGATGTAAGGATATTTTTGTGGGGTTTTTTTTTGGGGGGGGGCGGCGGCACTAGTTATTTAAGGATGTGTGCATACCAAGCAGATTTTTAAAAACCTGTTAGAAGCAACAAATATCCTATATTGTACTTCTCTAAAGTAGCCAAATGTTTACTGCTGACTACAAGAAAACTAACTTTTTTGTTTAGTGAACTTTAGCTAAGATAATTGCATATTGGGAAAGTTGTACACAACTGCAAATGCAGCCCTGTAATGGGAAATGTTAGGCAACCTGTTTAAAGCTGTGAACGAGCGTATTTGTAGAACCCGTTATACGCTGATTATTCAAAGTGGTGTAATTATTTGAATTTTCTGTTCTGCAGCATCGTTGAATGAGGTAAATTGCATCTTAATTACGGACAACCCTGTCCTCAAAGTACTGCGTAAGGTGGAGAACCAGTGGTTAGAAAGGGTCTGGTACTGGCACAGTTGTTCGAGGGGAAGGGTTTTATTTCACTAAGCATCTTTGACTAACATCAGTAACGGTTCACATTTTGAAGATGAGTAAACATTTTGTACAAATAGATTAACTGGTTAGCTTGGAAGCAAGAGTCAGTCACAGGCTTTTGAGTTTGCCAGATAGTGCTTTAAGTCTTCATTCTTCACCTATAATACCAACTCTCTGTTGCCCCTGCTAGATCAAGGATAAGAACACAGAAAGTTGCCTTATACTGAGCCAGAACACTGGTCCATCAAGCCCAGTATTTATATTGACCAGCAGCAGCTCTCCAGAGTCTTTCCCAGATCTACCCAGAGTTGCCAGGTTTTGAAACTGTGACCTTCTACATGCAAAGCAAATGTTCTTCCACACTGACAATGGTATGCCTCATGCTACCCTGGGACCACTTTTAGAGAAAGCTTAAAACTGATGTTAGAGAAACAAATAATTTATTTTGTTTTGTTCATATAGCATAAGAGAGCCATCAAAGTGGCTTTCACCAGGGATGGAGAACCCAGTGGCTAACTGTGGCCCTCCAGCTCTCCCCATTGGGCCCTTGGGACTGTCCTCAGACCACATCACCTTCCAATAACTCCCCTTCTCAGCAGGCCTGGCCATTAACCTGCCCTGCTTTGTAGCTACCTTGAGAGATTTTGCCTGGCTGGAAGGTGTCCTTGAACTTTGACAATGCCGCTTGCTTGTCTGGATGGAGGATAGAGGGAGATGCATGAGTGTGTGTAGAAACTAGCTTAGTGTACAAAGGTAAAGTTAGCATTCATTGCTCCTCCCACTTTAGCCTCCAGCCCTGCTCCCCACTGGCATGTCCTGCCCCAGCAGAAAGTTGGTCAGTAGAGAATGTGGGTCTCTGGATGAAAAGGATTCAGCCCTGTCCTGAAAACAATTGCAAGCTAATTTGTCCATGAGAAAGGTTTTTGCTTTCACCCCCTTGGAAGCCCATTCGAAATGAGTTCAGCAGAAATATAATGGGTCATATGCAACTAAATCATTGTGGTATCAGAAGCTACTAGTGCAACAATTCCTGACAGCGCAATGGGGCTTACTCTTTTCTTCTCTCCTGTGCCCTCCTCAGATCTGCTCCAAAGTGTTGGGAGCACCCCCAGAACAGTGGGGGGTGGGGGAGAGGTGATATCATTGTGTTGGGCAAGCACAGAAGCTTGCACTGACAGAACTATTCCCTTAGCCCTACTGATGATTTTAACCCAGTCTTTCCAGTGGGTCTTTCTACACTTACCTTCCTCTGAATCAGGACCTTCTTTAACACTCTCCACATGCAAAATAGGAAAATCCCCTGTCTGTGTGGACCATTTTCCTTGGTTAAAGACATAAGAAAAGTAAAACCTCCATACAACTAAGGCACTGGATGTTCTCTGTATGCATAAACTAGTCTGTCACTTTTTGGAATACATTTCCTAACTTCTCCTTTTCAAAAAGACCAGTAGAAATAGCCACTCTGTATTTCTTTGGTGTATTTTATGTTCAAATTAGTATCCTTCACAAACAAGAAAAAATACTTTAGATTCATTATTTTTCTGCCTTGTGCAGCTTTGTGTAAAGCTTGATCAAAAAAGTTTCTCATTAAAGTGTGACAGTCCTTTATATTAGTGGTACATAAAACCTCTCTGGTTATTATAGAGGAGGGAGGGGGAGCAAATGACAGTTGGTGTCAACATTAAGCAGCTCAGGGCAAACTGTTTTTCCCCCCCAGTACCTATGTAATTTAATTGAAATGCAATATTTCATGAATATTAGGAAGCTAGATTTTATTAAAAATGGCAAGGAAAAGTGAATGCCTGAGTGTTTAGAGTAACAAGCGGTACAAATTTATTCATTCAATACATCACTGAATTATTTAAAACTCGGCTTAAGCACAAGGTCACAGAATAATTTTGGAAAGTGCGCACTTGTGCATGATGCATTTCCATAATTCCACTGCACCTATAAAGTTAATCACAGCTTTGGCATGCTGGCTTTTTCATATATTAAACAGAGGCAGATAAAGGTTTTAAATTAAAATCTAGGAGTGGACTAAACTGCAGAAGACAGAATTATTTGTAAATTTCTGTACATAGGTTCCTTTTCATTTTAATAAAAATTACTAGCTTGTGAAAGGATTAAATTAACAACTCCTGGATTGTTAAATGCAACATCTCTGGCTGTTTTCTGATTACATAGGACTCCATTTGTAGCTTTTTATTTTATTTTGTACCATTTTTTTTGACCTCCTTGTACCCTGGATTGTTGAAAGGTGATTTATAATCCTTAGAAAACAAACAATGTTTCAGTAGACACAACCACGATTCTTGTCATAGTATCACTTTCTTCAGTGAAGTGTACATCATTTGTCACATTGCAACAGGTGAGGGCAGCTTTTTCAGTTAGCAGAATTTGAGATAACTATTGCTCGATGCTTTAGACCTGGGACTTTTAGCAGATGTGGCCCTATGTAATAATTACTCATCAGGACTAGAAGATTTTGAATGGTTTATGGCTTCCTTTGAATCATCGCCCCCAGAAAAAGCCCACAAAGGGGCCATTTCTGTGTCTGCCATTTTATATCTGTGAGTCGGTTAAAAGTATGGTTTAAACACCTTGTTTCCCTATTGAGACATGGTTCCAGAGCCCCTTAGCAATGAACAGATGTTTAAATATCACCTACCTCTTGTAAGACTATTGCACAGGAGAGCAGAAAGCAGGAATATATAGCTTCTGCATTTCAACATGGGTAGAGTTACATTCTCTGTTCCCATTAATGCTAATGGAGTAGTGTTAAATCTCTGTAAATCAAGATAAAAATGCAGAAGCACTTAAGAGGCTGTCAGCAAGTATTTAAATACACTTGATCTTTAATATTCAGTAGTGTCAGCCACCTCTTTGCTTGCTGTCATGCCCAGAACCAAACTGAGACAAATTTTCAAGAGGTTAATAAGCTCTATCATGCCTAGCAAGACAACAATAACCACTAAATGGGGTGGAAGAGAGAAATGGTCAGCCCAATTCAGTGAAGTCAGACAAAGCTGAAGTTTGTTCTGTGGTCCTTAACTGCACTTCCTAATTCTGTACTCGGTGCAGAGGTAAGGTACTGGGATTTGAACAGTACACAATTACAAATATGCAATGATGGCGTGATGGCATTTAAAGAGCTCCTGAATTAAGAATATTTTTTGCTTGCTAAATAGCCAAAGAAAAATCAAAAGCAGACTGGGAGGAAGCAGCATGCTTTAGAAGTGATTTTTTATGCCATGAGAAAGCTCAAACATAATGTGGAAATGAAAAGTTAGGGAAACATTGGGAGAACTGAATAAATTGCTGTGTGGATGCTTCCTCTTTTCACAAGCAGCATCACACGAAATTTATGATTATGCCTGTATATACCAGGTGCTGTGCCACCATGTATTCCGGATATCTTTAGGCTCCATCTGATGCAAGGGCAACTGGGGCTAAGCTACAAATTGTGCTATGCATCTGCCTGAAAGTGCTTCTTTAAAACTGTCCACCAGGGCTGGCCCACCCATGAGGCCAGGCCAGGTGACCACCTTAGGCTGCAGGTTCTCCATGGGCAGCAGAGCCTGCTGTTGATCTTTCTCCCCACATACCTTGTTCCTGATGTCAGTCTTCACTCACCTCTTCTTCCCTGGTGGGGAGGGAGGATGCCCTATTTTGGGGTTTGCCTCAGGTGCCAAAATGTATTGGGCCAACCTTGCTGTCCACACTTTCTTTAATTAAAAGTACCCATGCTTCCTTTTCAGTCTGGACTGGGCCTGAGGTATCAGCCAGAGCAGAGACTTAACTATTTCTTCCCCATGGTGTTTTCTTACTGAAGATCACCTCATATTTTTCGCACCCTATAAATGTGTTACACAGAAATGTGACCTCTGGGGATGCAAAAGTAGTATGTGGGTGATTTGTAGAGGGAAGACCACAGTCCTGGTCAAGACTCCCCTTCCTGCTGTTGAAAGTGGAAATTTGTCAGTGAGCAGCTGAAAGTGCAAGCTCAATGTGTAGTTTGATCCATAGTCAGTATCTGATCCTCATCCAGCCAACATCAGTCATTGCAGGCACTGTAGATGTGATTAAATCCATTTCAGCGTTACTTGATAGTAATTGAGTTTGCATATATCTCATTGGTTTTTAATAAGATGAAATACATTTTTCTTGCCTTTCTGTCTTTATGAAATGTTAAAAGAAGAGGGAAATGGGGGGGGGATAGGTAAAGCTGGTGACCCCCTCCTTTTCTTCACAAACCCCTTAGTGTTTAATCAGATTGTGCTCTTATATTTTATCAACCCCATTAAAGGCTAGGGGCTTGTAATGGGTTCTTTGTTTCTCTCTGTGGAAACGATACTCTGATTCAGTAATAAACTCAATGGAGCTTCAAATCCAAACTGATCATTAGCTCAGTTAAACTAGAAATGCCCAACAGTACGTGAATGTCATGTAAAGCTAATTATTCTGTACAATTGTTTTACTCTGGTGTCCCTTTTTGTAGAAAAGGAGGATAACCACAAGAGAATGCCTGCCTCAGAGTCAGCTGTAAGTTGAAATAAGCTTTTAAAAAAGAAATCTAACTTACTCTGGCTAAGGTACTCTGTGTACCTGCTTGAACTATGCAAAGTATTTATGCACGTTGCACAAATGAAGAATGCTGTCCTATCTGATGAATGCTGCCCTGGCCAGCATCTCCTGAAGTGTAACTATCTATGACAGCCAGGCAACGTATTTTGCTATGCTTGGACTAGAGTGGAAGATAGACATTCCTCCCTTGTCACAATTTCAGAAAACCAACCATGGTACCCATGCACTCAAGCCACTTACACACTTCCTGGAATACATCTTTTTATTTTTATTTTATTGCACTGACATACCCTCAAGCAATGGTTGCATACTGTGTGTTGGTATTTTGCCAGAAGGTTGGAAAAGGAAACCTGAGACCATATTGAATTTCATCCTGGTGGGGTGGCAGAGGAGCTCTGGTTTCTGCTTTTTCAGCACTGAATTTCTTAAAGCAATCAATTCTATATTTCATAGGTATAGGGAGGAAGGAATCAAAACCTTCATAATAGCGCAGAGAGTTCAGTCCCATCCCCAAGCCCTTGCTCAGAGCTATGGAACCACCTATACATCACCTGTTAGTTCCTTATTTTACCCTTGTTGTTGTTGTGCCAGTTCCAGGCTGAATTGGGCCCCTCTCCAGCAAATGGGCTGGCTTAGGATCCAGTAGATTATTGGCTAGCTCTGTTCCAGTGCCATCCCAACATCAAAATGCTCTGTTTCAGGATCTTACACCAGGAACAACAATGATAGTAGGCTTCCACAGCAGTAGATCTCCTCGCTTCTTATCCCCCAGCAATACCAACCTTACCAACCCTCCCAGAAGAGCACATAAAGGAGCACAACCTCCCTGAGTCTATATGATTTTATGAACAAATATTCTGGGAAAGTTTATAAGATGGAAGATCCTGATTCAAAGCAAAAGTTTGGATTGGATCTTTTGTGAGGTTTGCAGTGGATTGGTTTGGTTCAGTCATTGCATTTGAGAAGCACTGTTGTATTCTACATCCACCCTTTTGCATATTTATTGTAGAGAACATAAGTTTTTCTTTCTCCTAGTACCAATGTGAATAAGAAACACATATATGAAATACAAAAAGGAGCATCTGGATTGCTGTCTGTGTTCTATATATATTGTAAGGAATCCTGTACAACTGTCTGTAGATCTTTTGGCACCATAATCTTAGAACAGGCACAAAAACAAACCATTTAAATCTTTAACCGTAGTTACTCCATTTCTGTACTGGAATTTTTTTTTTAAAAAAATACATTTTTATTGTTTTGTCACTTCTTGTTTGCCAGCCTGGGCTCCCTTGGGAGGGAGGTTGGGATACATATTTAATAAATTTGGGGACACATTCTACCGTGACTGTAAATGTGGAACATCACACACACAAACATCCTAGCTCCTTACCATGTTGGTAACCCCAAATGACCATTTGCTGACCTGAACACTGTAAAATTTGTTGGAGTGTTTGTTTGAGTGTAATTCATTGGCTGATCTGTGAACATAACAATAAATACTGATTGACTGATTGATGATAAATTTGGTGGTGGCAGTGGTCCCATTTTTGCAGTCATGGCTCCACGGCACCCTGTCCCAGTTGGCCCCACCCAATGTGGCTGGAACAGGGCAAGGTTGGCACAACATCACTGAAGGAATGAGACCATTGCCACCACCAATTCATCAGTATCATGAGTGCACCTACAAGGCCCAGCCAGGAAAGCAGCAGTGATGTTGGTTTCAGGAGGTGGCTCCATGCATTGGCTCCATCACGTGGGCCACTATCGGAGAAAGATGCAACCTCTACAGCTCAAGGGAGGGAAATGAATTCCAGGAACTCCAAAAATGTGCACTTTGGAAAGCATCCCTTTAAAAATATGTTTTTGATTTTGTTGTTGCTTAAGGAACTGAATGTGAAGGCTTCTCTATTCTTTTTTGCACCTAGTTTTCATTTCATAATTTGTGTTTCAGTGGTTGAATTCTTGTTGTTTTGATGTTTGCCTTTCTATTTGGAAGCCACTTTAAGCAACTCCTTTGGTGGAGGGGGGAAATCAGGGTATAATGTTATAAATAAATACAGTGGTACCTTGGGTTAAGTACTTAATTCGCTCCGGAGGTCCGTTTTTAACCTGAAACTGTACTTAACCTGAAGCACCACTTTAGCTAATGGGGCCTCCTGCCGGAGCACGATTTCTGTTCTCATCCTGAAGCAAAGTTCTTAACCTGAGGTACTATTTCTAGGTTAGCAGAGTCTGTAACCTGAAGCATATGTAACCTGAAGCGGATGTAACCTGAGGTACCATTGTATAGAAATAACCAGGTTTTAGCATCCTCCTGAAGGTACATATGTGACAGAATAGATGAAAATGATTTAACAAGGGCTGGCGATGCATACAGAAAACAAAAATTATCTCTGGTAAAAAGAAATAGGGACAGCTGAAGTATATGAGTGAAGTGGCCATCAGGATTTCAGGTTCCTTTATCTTTTGCAGGCACCTGCAAAGAATAATAGCTACGTTTTGGATGAAAGATCTGAAGGAACTGTTTGAACTGCAGAGATTTGTGCTAAGATGATGCAAGAAAGATGGCATACTGTTGCAGAGAATGGAGCAGTTCTGCAGACTCCCATTTTTATTTTATTTTATGCCACAAGGATGCAGCCAAGACCTTGACAAGCCCATCACAGAGTGAGGAACAAACATGGGGCTAGAATTCATATCATATAGCTCATTTCTACCTGAACTCTGGAGCCAAGTAGGCAGAAGCTCCCTGCTAAGCAGCACTTTGTTATTTGAAATGAGCATATATTTTGTCTCCCAAATGCAGTTCCTTTTCCCATCCTCAATCAAACAGCACCCACTCAAGCTGCCTTGGGATATGCCACATCTGTCAGTACAGAGTAAGAATTTCCCTTGTTAGCTATCATTATTTTAAATGGCTTTTTAAAAGCCTGGCCTTGTGGTTCTGCATCTGCAAACGGTGGCAAAGCTGCTGCTTTTCTTCTCCTTTCCCCCCCAGGAAAAGTCAAAACTTGTGTGGCCTTGCTTTTGGACCATCAGATTATTCCATTCAGTTATTTTTACAGAGCTGGCATTAAAATGCACACTTGGCAGAAGCCAACATTAAAAGGCACCATCCAAAGACATGATAAAATATCATAGGCTTTTATAAGGTTAAAGTTTACATCTGGGGTTCATGATCTCTGAAGATAAGGAACGCAGGGGTGTAATAGCACATTTTGCTGAAAATAATGCATTTACAGTATTGATAATTGCACCAGACCAAAACCTATTATCAGAGGACAGTTGATGAATCCAAAACATAAAATAAAATAGCAATAGGATCCAATTTTTAATGCTTTTATATAGCAGCTTTAAGCTGGTCTAGTAAGATTGATCCTGAGGATGTGCACAAAGCATCCATCAGTTTCAGTTTTCCAGTCAGCTGGAGAAGTCAACTCTATTTTTTTCCCTTGAATAAGTCTGGTGGCTCAACTGGATTCATGGATCATTAACTACTGAAGAAATATATATATATACACACACACACACACACACACACACACACACACACCCCTGTATATCAGACTGGGAACAACAAGAGAAGTTATTCTTGTAGTGAAAACATAATGCTGCAAGGATGCTCTTTGGGTGTGCAAAATAGCCTCTCAAAACATTTGTCTAGTTTGCTAGATGAAGGTCCTTGCTTGACAGCTATGTGATATTTGGAGTCTACAAGCAACTGAAATCTGTGTTTGCAGGGTTACATGTACAACGTACCGAACCCCACTGAAGCAAGTGATGAGAAGGAAATATTGTTCCAGTCTAAATGTGGGCAGTGAAAGAAAGGCAGAACAACAGTGTGCATGCTGTCGCTTTTGGGAACTGATGGCGTTTTAAAGAAACATAGTGTCCCTGCTAAGCTTTTCACATTTGCAAATAGACAATGAGGGAAAGTTTGACTGAGTTTGCATTTCAAGGTGAACGCACCTAATTCACAGTTTCTGAAACAAGACAACAATGAAAACAAAGCTCGAGTGGCGGTTAGGCATTGGCAGGGGTTTATTGTTATGCAAATGAATGGGGGGGAAGGAAGCGCCATCACCTTCCCCCAAGGAAAGGGTAGTCCGGTAGAGGACTCTGGGGGGCGTTGCCTTGTCCAAAACCTAGGGAGGTAAGGGCCTCCGGCACGCCCCCGAGCGGTGACACCCGTGGGAGCCTAGTTGGCGTACTTCAACAGGACTCCCACGGCTTGTGGATAACCCTTCCCGGTCTCCATGCCGGGTAGTCGATAGGAGCCAATGCCTAAGGCCAATACCTTTCAATTCTGTAATCAATAAAGTTGTGGCCTTTTTATGCCCATTAACCTTAAATAATGTGTCCAGTGTCTTCATTTCACATGGGGGAGGGGACTTGCCACGCAACTGATGGCGTTTTAAAGAAACATAGTGTCCCTGCTAAGCTTTTCACATTTGCAAATAGACAATGAGGGAAAGTTTGACTGAGTTTGCATTTCAAGGTGAACGCACCTAATTCACAGTTTCTGAAACAAGACAACAATGAAAACACAGCTCAAATTCACAATTCTCTAAATTTTGCAGTGCAGTTCTCCAGACAGGTAATGTGTACAAAAATCCACATATTAGGGCATTATTGTTGTTTTTATTGTTGTTAAAATTTATATAGTACCTTCATCCAAGGATCATAGGAAAGTCTACAATATAAAAACACAAAATACATAAAAAAGTAAAAAAAAAATGCTCTCCACACAAACACATTTTAAAAGGCCATTGATTGTTTAATTAGCCTAAGGCCTAGGAAAAGAGGAATGTTTTTGCCGGGCACCTAAAGATATGTAATGATGGCTCCAAGCAAGGCACATGAAGAAGAGCCTCAGATAATGATCACAGGGGCTTTATCAGTTAATATGGGGAGAAGCAGTCCTTGAGATATTGCATAAAGTGTGCATATAAATGCATATATTGTTGAAAAATTACATACAAAATGAATTGTAATAGGGAAAATTGTTCTGGAAAAAATGTGCATATTAGGCAAAATTTCTTAAAAACTAATAATAATAATAATAATAATAATTCATAACTTGCCCATCTGGCTGGATTTCCCCAGGCACTCTGGGCGGCTTCCAACAAAATATTAAAATACAATAGTCTGTTAAACATTAAAAGCTTCCCTAAACAGGGCTGCCTTCAGATGTCTTCTAAAAGTAGCTGGTAGCTGTTCTTCTCTTTGACACCTGATGGGAGGGTGTTCCACAGGGCGGGTGCCACTACTGAGACGGCCCTCTGCCTGGTTCCCTGTAACTTGGCTTTTCACAGCGAGGGAACCACCAGAAGACCCTCGGCGCTAGACCTCAGTGTCCGGGAAGAACGTTGGGGGTGGAGACGCTATAGAATCATAGAACTGTAGAGTTGAAAGGGACCTGGAGGGTCACCTAGTGCCACCCCCCCCATAATGCAGAAATCCTGCCCACAGCTGTCTCTGCGTAGGCTTGGACCACCAACCTTCTGGTTAAAAGCCAGACACACCAAGCTATTGTGCCACCTGTAGAAGTTCACACAAAACTGCTGATGAATTTTCATGAGGACTTTTTTAAAACAAAACAAAACATGCAGACTGATGCAGAAATATGGAGAACTGAATTTAGGACTGGAAAAATAAGGAACGGAGAGTACTGGCAATTAACAGATTCTACCATCCATACAAATATATATTATTATTATTTTTAACTCAGAAATCTCTAGCAGTATGTAACTCATACGCAAAATAGCCTGGGGAAATAATGCTTCTGTCTTTCTACACACCCTCCAAAATGCCTGGGAAGACATCTTTTCGCTGTTACTGTGCTATATAAAAAATTCTTAGCTAACAGAGCTGTTTCTGGGACATAGATGCCAGACAGTAGGTAACCTGGGCTGCACCTGGCCAGAGGCTAAATCCTCTGTTGACATAAGTCAGCCATATTGCAGACAAAAATTGCCCATCGTTTGCTTGACCTGAAGGCAAAAAGTTGACTTCAGACTCAGTGGAGAGATGCCTAATATCCTCCCCAGAGAGACTTACCTGGCACCTACTTTATTAATGCTTTTGTATACTTTTCTATTTACTCAGGCTTTTATAGTGCTTATCATGCTGTGGTTTAACAACATTTTAACACTGTGGTTTCATGTTTTAGCCCTCTATTTTAATTGTTGTAACACTCCTGCTTTTGTTTTAAATTTATTTGTTTGGTATTACAATTCTGTTTTTCCTTCATTTACATGGTATTTTATCTAGTTGTGGTTTTCCCATTGTTATCAGACAGCTTATGAACTGAATTAATTCATTATTCTAGGGTATCTTATGAATGGAATAATTTTTCAAATCATTGTAGTGTCCCAATAAAAGTTTTCTTGGCATCATCCTCTGCAGGGAGCTCAGCATCCCCCTTCCCTTGGAGGATGACGGTAGAAGGGTTGTGCCATATAAACTTAAAAGGTGAACTATAATCCATCAATATGTTGGAAGAGAGCTTCCATTAAGGATAATATGCCAACCAGGCATACCTTAGGGAACATACAAAAGGACTCTGTGATAAAGCACAGATGGTTCAAAATCTAGCCCATAGTAGCTGCAGGAGTTGACAAGCCTTGAAAAACCTCAATAAAAGGAGGAAAAGAGAATTGGCAAAGCTTCACAATAGACTAAAGCATAAAGCATACCGAAAATAACCTCAGGCATCAGTTACCTCATTTATTTACCAAATGCAGAGAGGGGTAAATTGTAATATAAATGGCTAAAATCAGAATCATTTTGCAGCAAACCTCTGAAGATGCTGATAGTTTCAGATTTGTTTTATCCTTTATATTCTTTTAAACAAATGTATCTAGGAAACTTCCAACAAATGATTTTGAAGAGACTTAATGCAAAGTAAATAGTCTTTAAGATATTGCTGAAATGCTAGGGAAGTGAAATGAGACAAAGTACCCGAAAGATTGGGAAGTACTAGAGCATGATATATCAGATAGGTAAGATAGACAGAATGGCAAAGAAGTCAGAGTGTTTGTTCTTAGGGATGGAAATGGGGATCCCAAAGAGGACACACTCAATCAGCACCTGCCAGACAGGTGTGGATAGGACAGGGATCCACTTCTGAATCTGCACTCTGCCCGGGTTCCATCATAATGTGGCCAAGTATGCTAGAGTCTATTTCGCATAGTATAGTATTTATAAGGTGACAGAGAGCACTTTTCCTTTTACCATCAGCTAGTGTGTGGTCTTTTGCTTGCTATACAGGTTCAGTTCCCCTGGAGTAAGAGGGACTGATGACATCCAATAGCTCTCAAGAAAATTGCAGGTGGGACAAATATGGCATCATGCAACAGCACATCATCTGGTTTTCTTAGCACTTCAGTGCATTTTATTTTTAATGGATTCTAATATACTTATTTATCACCTTAAGATGTGTTGAGAGGATATACACATATCTGCAAAGTGTCTTTTGAAACTGATCAGGCCAGAGCTGCTTTGCAACTTGGTTTTGTCAGTTTCATCATTCTACTGACTTATAACATTTTCTCAGGAGAGTGGCAGCACGTAAGAATTAGAAACATGGCAATAACAGTCTCGCCAAACACCAAAAAATTTCTTCATCTCCTCTATTACATCTATATAAGTTTCAAACTATTAATACCGCATCAAGGCTATACCATGACGGTTTTCAGTAGGAAACCGTTCCAGGAAAAAGGTACTCAGTTGCACCGCACAGCTAAGTATCTATTTAAGTTCATTTGTCTTTTGCAAAAGGCAATAATGTTCATTCTAAAATTTTAGGACTGTATAAAAATATCTGATATATAAGAAAAAATGTAGGGGCTAGAAACTTGATTTCTTAGGTTTCTAAACTCTGCTTCACAAAACAAATTCCATACTCACAAAGCACCATCACTGATGGCTCCACGTTATATTGCATTTTACGTGTATGTGATGGTTGTTTTAGTTACCATGGCAATAAGTATTCAGAAATATTATGTAAATAAAACTTTCCGAAATGGAACAGCTTGGTTTACAGCCATCATTTATTAAAACATATGTATGCTATTTTTTCACTTGGAATAACGAGTTTTGAAATCTACACTCCATGACAGAAACCTTGGGTTATAGCCAACAAAGATCTACCCAGAGTAAGCCCATTTAAATCAATGAAGCTAAGATAGTCATAGGCATTAATTTTGATGGATCTACTTTGAGTATGACTAACATCAGATACAACCCTTTGTTGTACGACCCCATCCCCTTTAATGAGCTAATGCAATGGAGAACTTTATACTGATCTGAAAGGCTCATATTTAGAGAGTTCTTTGATCATTAGGCAATTGATCCCAGCATATAAACCACTAGGTGACCAAATCTAAATGCTGGATTTCCATTTGATTTGATGTATAATGTATTTCTGTGCTGCTTTTCATTCAAATTAATCTAAAAGGGGCTTACAAACAATAAATAACAATAACATAACATCAAAAATACAGCATAAATCATATAAAATAATTAACAATCTAATCTATAAAACACTATTAATAAAGCATCAAATAGGATCCTTTTCAAGGAGGGTCCTGCTTGCGCTCTGGACCTTGGGGCCCCCATGGCATCTGGAGGCAGGGCTTAGCCCGGCGTTGCTGGGGCAGTCTCTTGATCGCCCCAGTTCCAGCATCCAATCAGGTTGTTTCACAAGTTGTGGGAGGGGGACGGTTTATAAACGGCAGCACGACATGTCAGAGCCACTTGCTTCATGCTGCCGAACACCTGCCCACCCGCCCTCTTTGGTTTCTGTGCTTTGACCTTGCTTGGGACTTTGATTGGTTGCCTGTTTTGTGGCAGGGGCCTGGTAGGAATTTTGTCCACTTGGCAGATTGGCACTGGCCATTTGGTTTTCACCTACCTCCCAGCAATCGTCACAACTTTGTAAGGTTTGGCGGTTAAGCATTGACTTAGTTGTGGTTGGGGGAGGGGAGGTGCGGCCATCACCTGCCCCTCCTTAAAAAAGTGTATTCCGTTAAAGGAATCTGGGAGTTATGAATCTTGTCCGAAGTCCGCTTGAGGGGCTAGGGCCATGCCAGGATCCCAGGAACCCCGGGGTGAGCTATAGCCAATTTGCATCAATATAGCTCCCTCGTTTGGTTTACCCTTCCAGACTTCCTGCGGGGTGAGCAGGGGTCAGTTTTAGTTTGTCAATGCCTAAGCCAATACCGCTCACATTGTGTAATCAATAAAGTTGTGTCCTAAAATTTGCCCATTAATTTTAAACTGAAATTTGAGTCTGTGTGAATTTATTTCTGGGGGGTTAATTGAGGTCCTCGAAGTGCAAATAAAAATACAGTGGTACCTCAGGTTACATACGCTTCAGGTTACATATGCTTCAGGTTACAGACTCCGCTAACCCAGAAATAGTATCTCCGGTTAAGAACTTTGCTTCAGGATGAGAACAGAAATTGTGCTCCAGCGGCAGGGCAGCAGCAGAAGGCCCTATTAGCTAAAGTGGTGCTTGAGGTTAAGAACAGTTTCAGGTTAAGAACGGACCTCCGGAACGAATTAAGTACTTAACCTGAGGTACCACTGTAAGTTAAGCATCACAATTACATCATATATATGATTAACAAATCAATATGGCATTTGTAAACTATAAAACAATATTAACAACATTAACAAAATAGCAAGTGATAAACAATAAGAGAAGCACTGTTGAGTTCTCACACACTCACACTCTACGTCCCCATGACTCATAATCTTTCACTCTGTTCAGTTCATTAGAATACACATAAAATATACATTGTGCCTTTCATTAAGCCAGCTCAGCCAAATGGCTCACTGGCTGGAGTTCTCAGGTAGTGGGCCATGGTGGAGATGGTAGGGCTCTTGGGCCCACTGCCAGTAGTAAGGTGGATGTTGACTCTGGGTAGTCTGCCCAGGCACTGTTGGAAGTACTAAGGCATTTGGGATCCAAGGTATAACTGTATAAACAGTGATGCAGGACACCAAACCATCATGTCCAATTGCATCTATTGTCATTTACTCTGGCATTATCACTGTTGTTTACACCAGCAGATTTCTGGCTCTTTTTTTGAGGGATAAATGTCAAAATGCACTTCTTAATGACTTCTCAGATGCCATCTTTTTCATGGTTACATTTCAAGAAGCTACACTTTTATAAGAAAGCTATGTACAAAGATCTTATTGTTGGAAAAGTCTAGATGAATGATAGGTCAATGTAAATTTGAGAGACGTGCCTAGCTCCTGTGCAATTCCAGTACAGCTCCTGAACAAAGAAATAAAAGATTCCTTTTGTAGGATATTGAAAGTAATAGAGAAGCTCTCATGTGCTTGGACTTCAAAAAGGCTCATCTCTGAATGACTTCTCTCTGCCCTTCTATCAGCCATGATGGATCAGGGAGACTTAAATATAGACACCATCCTTTCAGAAGAGATAGGCTGGTGTGCCTTCTTATGAGGGGACAGAAAACCATTTTTATTACATTATTTATCGCATTATCCCTTTTTAATACATGGACAGTAATTAAGCAGATAGTGTAGTTATATGACATTTGAAATTAATACACTTTCAGTGCAGTTTGATTTACTCAAAAGTTATACCCATTGAGTTCAAATGGGATATACTTCCTAATAAATGTGTATGGGGTTCAGCCTACATCTAAGGATAAGTTCATCTTGTTTCTGTTTGTAAACGTTGTAATAAAGTTTTAATTGGTTACACTTGATTGCTGCCATACTATTATCAGTAAGAATCTCTCCACAGGAAACATATCTCTAATAAATTCTAGCTTAGGAAAAACAAGAAGATGCAAATGAAAAATGTACGAGTACAGAAGATTCTTGGGAGCCTGCAGTTATTCTGAAATAAAATTTCATGGGAAATTGTGGGAAAATATAGTAGTGAGAAATTTTCTGGAAAGCATCACTGTTTTAGATTCAGTTCTTTCTGTCAATATACTACACAATATTATTTTGAAGATGAAAACATTAAACATAAATCAATATGCATTTATTGGTTAGCTTTGTATAGTAGTTATTTTTAGGGAAGTTTTTAATGCTTGATGTTTTATTGTGTTTTTAATATTCTGTTGGAAGCCGCCCAGAGTGGCTGGGGAGGCCTTGCGGGGTATAAGTAATAAATTGTTGTTGTTATCAAATAAAAAGATACAGAACTATTATGCAGTTTTTCACAGTTTAATGCTTTAAGTGAAAACTATATAGATACATTTCTTTCAAAAGATCCTCTATCTATGTAGCTACTTATATGTAATTAAAACTTTATGAATATATTTATTCCAATTATCTAATTATTTATGCAGCTAATTATTTAAAAAGGGTTATTCAAATATTGAAAACGGAAAATGTTGCTCCTGTTTAAATTGGCTCAGAGATGACCTTTCTTACAGAAGCTGAAAACTGAAACAGAGGTAAAAAATAACAGCACTGCTAAGATTGATAACAGCATGGCAGAACTTTCCACAGTACAGGTGTGGCTAACCTGTGGCTGTTCAAATGTTGTTGAACTCCAACTCCCATCAGCCTCAGGCAGCATGGGAAATGGTCAGAGATGAGAGGAGCTGCAATCTAACACTAGTTAGTCAATCCTGGTATAGTTATTGAACACTCCTGGTACAAATCAGTGTAGTCCTAAACCCCAGCTCCCTACCCACTGCGGGCTCCATCCAACCACTCAGATAAATTGAATTTTACTGTGGTTTTCTGGACTTCAGAATATGGTGAGATGCTGGTTTTGCTTTGCAAGGCAAAGAAATAAAAGTTGATATCCTCCTTTTACTGGGTCTCTTCCCATTAAAAGCCTTGGGAGATAAGTCCTTCATAACTTGTTTCACTGATTTCAGTGGCTCCACCTATTTAAGATGCCATCTTAGGCACGTTACCTAGAAATGAGTTCAATGGCACTTACTACCTTGTAAGGTTGTATAGGATTGTGTGCAGTCTTGTTCTAGATTCAATCCATAGTATATTGGTCCTGGGTCATAGAGAAACAGCAAATGGGGCAAATAAAGCATGGCACAGCAGTTTTACTTGAAGCTCCTATTCAAATTGACTTAGAGGGACACTTTGTCACACAAGTTGAAAACTAGCTTAGAAACCTAAAGTAAAGGTTAATGAAAAACAACAGTGCATTCAGTTTGGTGAAGAGCTATCAATTAGAGTGCCGGCAATCAATATTTCAGCATCATCCTTCCTGAATTTAGTGATCTAAGAAGTGGGATAAACAGTCTGTTAATTAAATTTTCAGAGGTGATAGATGGGATGGTTGGGTGGGACTAGAAGATGCCGGGAATACCAGCGATGACGGAAACTCATTCATAACCACGGAGGCTTCTTCCTTAATTATCATCAGACTGCTTCCAAGTTCTGGCTCATCTTGAAACTTTTTAAGATCAGCCAGTCCCACCCTCCGCGACACAGAGTCAATATATTTGTTTAAAAACTCTCTTTAAGCCCAATGCAGTGGTTCATCAGAATAACACTGGGGCATTTTTGCTGTTGTTGATGATATCCCTCAGTCTTGCTGAAACTTTATCTGTTTAATTGTAAGTCATGAATGTAAAAGTATATTTGTTTCTTTTTGTGGTGATCTCAGATTTGGAGCCAAAAGCAAACCACAGTGTTTCCTAACAAGAAATCTGGCAGCCGTCATGAGTGCAGTGATACGCTTGAGACGAGACACTGTCATCAGTGACACCAAAATGAATAAGAACCTAAGAAACAAGCAGTCAGTTGCAGCCACTGATGTCTTGGGAAAGAATCACAATATCGGAGGCTAGTAGCAAATGGTGAGACAATGTCACTTACTTTTTGCTGATCACTTCCAAATGTATGCCTGTGACACACACACCGCCTCACTTAAAACAAGCTCAAGCAGGATTGAAACAATACCTGGGCTAGTTCAAGTGAAATTTACTTGAGCAGAAATAAGGAAATACATTAAAATACAGTAGAAATACTACACACACAGAGAGAGAGCTAATATATGAGTACTATATAGAATTTTAAAATAAAAATATCTCTTAAAATATTGTATACAAGTGTGACAAAATGGTTCCATGTATCCATTAAGGATGAACAAAAAAATGGAAATCACTCTTTTGGTGGAAATTTGTCACAGGGGGTTCCTGAAGTAGGGTGGCACGGGGTGGGGTAGTTCAGCTGTACAGCCCTATAGGATAGGTTTCCCTTAGTCCCCTATTGCATAGGCTCACCTAGAGCCTCTGAGAAAGTAATCTTAGGCTGCTGTGAAATTTTATTATCATGAGCTTGAATCACACTTTGTAGCCACAATATTGTAACAGGGAGAAGTAAAAGTATCTTTAAGAACTTCATTTTGAACAAAAATGGGTGAATTCAAATTGGCCAAGAAAGCTAATTTCTTTTTATAAACAGCTTAATTCTGGTTTCTGTTCAATTTCTCTCTCTCTCTCTCTCTCTCTCTCTCTCTCTCTCGGTGTGTGTGTGTCTCCCCCTCTCCTTCTTTTCCCTTCTCTTATGATACAGATTATTAGTAGATGGTCTGAGTAGAAGGATTCTGCTTGAAATAAGCTCTGTGGAAAAATGAATGATTTCAAGTGATAGCTTATGTTCATTCCAGCAACTTGTTGTGGTTCTGTAAAAGATGAGAGCCAGAATCACAGATAAAAGACTCAGAAGTAAAAAAAACACACACCAAAAACACCCAGGATGATATCTAGGCTGGGGTGGTAGTGGAGAGATGGATCAAAACTGCTGAAGGAAAGGTAATTTTGTGTGCAGGTTGGTTGGTTAAAAAAAACAAAACAGTTTATTGAACACCCCAATAAAAAGGAATGTATTGCACAGAAAGTCTGGAAATAATGTTGATGTCAAAACTGAAGTTTCTACTTAGCTTATGCTTCCAATTGCTAGTGTGTTCAGTGAAGACAAATGGAGAGAGATTAGCTTCCTATGATTGAAAATAAAACTTGTGATACAAAAGATAAAGAAATTGCAAAATTACTGGACCCTCTTGAATTATTTTGCAGTAAAATTATCACTGTAAAAATTATCACTCTGACTGGTAGCAGTTAATGGAAATGACAGGTAAGTGAATTCTGAACCCAACTTTACTGTCTGTAATAACTTGTCTTATAAAAACTGAAGAGTATGGGATCTAAATAATATTCAGCAACTGAGATTCTTTAGACATGGCTAGCACGGTCTGGCTTTATTTCTAAATGCGTCACAAAAATATGGAAAGTCTGCCTTATTGAAAAAGAGCTGTCAAAGAATCAGACTTTATCTTTGCAAAACTGAAGTGTTCATCAGTGGAGATTATTCTGATTTCAGAAGTTCTGATTTCAGAACTACCAATTCTAAGGTCAAAGTCTGCTAATGAGCACTCACACTATATTGTGGGTGCCTTTTGCGGGATCGTGTGCGGTGCTACAGTTCCCAGGGAACGTGCTAGTAGAAGGGGGCTGGCCTGCTTCTCAGTGGTTCAGAGGTTCATGCCCAGCCTCAGATTTAAGTTTTGTTTCCTGGGAAATGGGGCCAGACCATTATAAATAGGGGGGGGGGAGCTGGTATTAGCCAGGCAGACAGCTCTGGAGATTCACCCTCCCTTTGTTAATGTTTCTTGTTTACAGGTTAACTTTTTCTTCCTGTTTAGCGGGTGCTGCTTCGGTCTTTGACTGGTTGCTGTTGAAGGACCGGGAAGAAATTTTCCTGCATTGGCAGGTTGTATCTTCCCCGTAGCAATTTGTCACAACTTTGGCGGTTATGGCCTTGGGTGGAATCCTTTAGTCTTTTCTTCCCTGCAATGGGGTGGTGGTGGTGACTGACCCCCCTGCAGCTGCGATTCCAGGATCCCCTCTTAAACGGGTTACATAAATGGGTGTCACTGGCCATACACTGAAAGGTTGTCAGTGAATTACCCTGCGTGCGGGGATATGGGCTCGGCTGCCTGCCTACACTTACATCACGCAGAGCACCCCCATATCCCATTTACCCTGATGTGCCCCAGTTCGCTGGCTGTGGGGCTGGGAGGGATACACGCCCAAGGCCTAAGCCAAGGTATTCCTACATTCAGAAGTTTAATAAAGTTGTGGCCTAATTTTAATTCCATAACATTGCCAGAGTCTTTATTTCCTTTCCCACTTTCCCTGGGGGCTGGGGCTGTCACGTCTGGACACGCAATTCACCCTGTTTCCCATCAGAGACTAATTCATTCAGACTGCCCCATTCAGACTGCCCTCAATGAGCAGACTTTCCTACCTTCTTCCTTTCAGCAAATTTAGGAGGTGGTGCTGCCTCCCAGCTCCCCCCTCCTTCTAAGTCTCAGTGTGGCATTTATATTTATAGAACTTAACAGTAACATAGATGGGGGGGGGGACTAAATTTAGCTAGAGTTCCCTGGGAAGAGAATTTTATTTTTAAACTACTCTAGAAACTGCAGCACTTTGAGGTGAACAGCTCTCTAATAACTCTCAGCACTCTTAACAAATTTCTGCTTCCAAGGTTCTTGGGGGAGACACCATGACTGTTGGAAGTGATATAATAGTACTTTAAATGTACAGTATGCATGGGGGCTGGTCTTACGTGCCTGATCCCAGTCATTCTGCGCCTCCTGTCATGAAAGCAAGTATGTAGACATTTAGACTCTTACATCACGTACAGATTAGTATCAGTGATGAAGTGGTACTGGAGCTCATCATGAAAGCACATCTCAGTGGAAAGTCCAAAAATGTATGCAGCTGTGCTGATATATTGTACACACACTCACAGAAAGAGACAGACACACCCAGAGAGAGAGAGAGAGAGAGAGAGAGAGAGAGGCAGTACCTAGCAAAATACAAATTCATTAGTATGAGCTGACAGTCATAGAATCGTATTGTAAACCTCCCTGTGGTCTTGGGATGAAGGGCACTATAGAAATAAGAATAAGAAGCTGGAAGTAATTTCCTGGTTTTCTCTATACTAATATGTTACAAACAATAATAAGCATTGAAAGATGTATCATTCAGTTGCCAAAACCAGGAGAGGCTGTCAGTGACCTTGGCAGTCTGGTCAATCAGAAAAATGTTCTAGTGCTGTGTTCTGCTGCGTTTTCCCCATGTCCTTGTTCCACTATACAGTGGTACCTCTGGTTACGTACTTAATTCGTTCCGGAGGTCCATTCTTAACCTAAAACTGTTCTTAACCTGAAGCACCACTTTAGCTAATGGGGTCTCCCACTGCTGCCACACCGCTGCCACACGATTTCTGTTCTCATCCTGAAGCAAAGTTCTTAACCCGAGGTATTATTTCTGAGTTAGCAGAGTCTGTAACCTGAAGCGTACATAACCCGAGGTACCACTGTACCACTAATTAACAAATATGGGAAGAAGTGCTAACCCCCACATCCTGGTATATATGTCGGGTGCAGGTAGAGTATGTGTGGACTGACCACTTCCTAGTCTGATTTACTCCTGCACTCATCCTTCAGATGTATCATATTAGTATCTTGCCTTTATCTCCAACTCCCATCAAAACAATGGCATCAAAATGTATCAAGAGTCTTATTTACCTTACTTTTCAAATGTAGAGAGAACGGTAGATGGGTTGGTGCACAGATTTTCAAATTCATTTGCAAAGTTGTTTGAAAAAATATGAACAGGGTCCAGGGGGAATAGGGCTGTCTTCATTTGTCTTGACTGAATGGGAAAAAAAGAGTTGTTGACTTAAACATGTTTCTTAATTGGACCTTAGCAAATTGAGTCAAAGTAAAACAGATGGTGTAGACATTTTCCCTGAAAGGAGGACTTGTGCTGTAATTATCTTGAGCTATGATCTTTCACAGTTACACATACATAAATACCATTTCAATAAATTGGACTTGCAACTCCCGAACTGTGTGAAAAAGGTGGTCCCAGGGGAAGAATGCTTATTTCTCCTGCTCATAATCATTGTTGGACAAATACTTATCAGTAATGGCTACCTAGTAGAATTAACTCTGTTTTGCAGTAGTCCCTTTAACTTCTATATTGTAATTGTAATATACAACAAGATTTGTACTGCAGCCTGACCAACACCTTTGTGGTTCCTCAACTGCGCACAGGGAGGTCCTGGATATTTTGGCCTTCTCATTAACAACAACTTCAGTAGAAACACTGTATTTATGTTGGAGATATGTGCTCTAGCAAATGAAGTACACAAGGTATGTCAGTTTTGCAACAGCATCAGGTATGTGCAATGTCACCATATCTTCTCCATCCAGTGCAGGGAAATACATTTATTTAATAAAACAATTCTATTCTTCCCTTCATCAAGAACTGACAAGAATAGTTAAAACATCTGAGTGAATAACAAAGTTTCAGTCTTGTGCCTAATATAAAATAATGTTGATGTTATTCATGACTCCTTGGGGATGACCCTCTATAACTAGGCTGTCACAACTGAAACTTCTTTGGGAAGGCAGAAAGAGAGAAAGAGGGGAGAAAAGAGAAGTGTGTGTGAGAGAGCACACTTTTATTCATCTTAAAACTGTTTCTGCTCTCATTTGAAGGTGAACCTACCTAATTTGCACTTCCTGAAATAATATGTGAACTGAAACAGAGTCATTCTTTGAAATTTGCACTTCTCTGAATTTTGCAATGCAGTTCTCCAACCAAGTGACATGTACAGAAATGTATATATCTGGGTAAAGTGTGCACCAAAATGCATATTTTCAAGAGCATAAAATGCATTATGTTAGAAAAAAATGCTTTGTGAAAAATTTTCTATTAGGGAGAATTGGATACACACTAAAATGCTGCTGAATTATGAGGAGGACTTTAAACAAAACTGGTGTAGAAATGCTGAAATCAGAACTGGAAAAATATGGGAACTGAGAGAAAGTGACTTTGACAGTTTCACCCATCCCTACTTCCAGTAAAAGAGACACTTTGAGAACGATTCTAGATGGTGACCTTAAAGGCTAATACAGGTGTCTACATTCCTTTAGGTACTTGAACCCTTAATATACCATTTAGAGCTGCTTATGTAAGCACCAGATTTTGAATTGGTTTTACAAGCTACTTGGCAGCTGGTGAAGTTCTGTTAGAACTGGTGAAATATGGTCTGTACAATCTGCCCCAGTCAGAATTTTTGCAACCCTGTTTCACACTAACTGACACTTCTGGACCTTCTTCAAAAACAGCCACATGTATAACATATTGCAATCATCTGAACAGGAGATTACCAGAGTTTGGATAACTGTCAGCAAAATATCAAGCCCATTTTCCACCTCTGGCACATTGTGCCCTGTGTGACTACGTCTCTAAGACTGTTGCTAACAGTCAGGCAGTTTGGGTCGACTTTTCTGCACTGTCGTTTGTGGCCTATAGTGTTTGATCACTGGTAAAACTGGCAGAGATGGGGGACGCCTTGACAATGTCAACATCATTTCATTTCCTTCATCCTCCACCCATCCCTAACCCTCAAATCTGATGTGTGGTTTTAAAAAAATCCAGGTTGGGGAAAACTCTTTGCATCTCATTTACCACCACTACCTTCTCATAGACACCCCCCATTAATTCATTCATGGGGGAGGGCAGCCCCCCCATGAATACATATGAACTTGCATGTTCATGCGTAAGGGTTTTTTAAATCAGTTTATCAGTTGCTTATAAGTCTTCTTGAGAATAACTTGATTGAAAGTGGGGTATAAATTTTTTAAATAAATCAATAAAGTCATATGTTGGCCAAGATCCCAGTGCGCATTGCTCCCCATTCATTTAAAACTGCACATATTTTTTTTTTAAAGTAATCGGATGTACATATACACACATTCTTCCTTTTAATATTAAAAGACTGCACTAGGAATGCTGGGAATGGGTGTAATTGTGCATGGTTCCCCATTTAAAGCCTGACCTGCTTGCTTGCTAGTGCTGATCTATATCTCCATTCTAAGTTTCCTACAGCTTGCTAGTGCTCATCAAGTAAAAGCTCTTTCGCCCTTTCTTTCTTTCTTTCTTTCTTTCTTTCTTTCTTTCTTTCTTTCTTTCTTTCAACAAACCATACAGGAATAAAAGGAAAAGTCCCACTAATGTAAAAGCTAAAACATAGGTGTCTAATGTAAGACTGCCTTTTAAACCTAAATTTCAAGCATGCCACTTGCTTCCCTGCCCCCAAAATCTCTCCTTCTACAGTTAACATTGTTAATGCTGTCTTCAACTCAATTTACTTGGATCCTTTACATTAATTGAACGAATGTGGAACAATGCACAGTTCGATCTGCATGAACATAGGAACTAGTGTCAGGACCTTTCTGTTAGCTAAAAGGATAATTGATGTAATTGTGAGCATACCATCTTATGTTGATTTTTTTCATCTTTAAAGAAGTATTTTAATATTCTTATTAAATGCTCAGTATTTTAATATTCACAGTACAACTAGCAAATGTAAAAGGAAATCTAGTTGAACAAAAGATATGAAAAGCTCTGGCAAACAATTTGTTCAGTGGTCCAGAAATCAAAGCATGAAGAAAGTAAATGGGTCCATGCAACTCTAATATGAGGGTAATTCATCCTGTTTCCCATCAGAAGCTGATCTATTGGCACCTTAAAATGTGAAAGGAAAATACAGAGGAGGCAACTGTGAGAGTATCCCTAATATCTGGTCATAATCTTGCAGCTCCCACCAGTTTCAATAGTCTTACAACCAGAATGGATGCATACTTACTTGAAAGCCTGTTTACTTGCTAAATTCCTTTTTACTCTTTTTATTCTGGACTCATCGTACACACTTATACATATTTACTGTGAATATAAATGTTTGTAGGACTGAGGCCTTAGTGAAACCTCTGAACATAGCTCAGTTGGTTAGAGCATGGGGCTGACCATTCCAAGATTGCAGGTTCAATCCCTGTATGGGGTTCCTGCATTGCAAGACAAGATGGTCATCAGTGTCCCTTCCAACTGTATGATTCTATGTTATGGCAGGTCTCCTCTTTAGATGGCAATGTGTGACACTCTCGGTTAATTCAAAATGTGTTAAGCCAATCTTGAGGTGTTTCAGGATCTCCCAGCCCATTGTGCTCAACGAGGTCCTGGACTTCTGCTCTGAACTCCTGCCTTGAATGCAGTGGACTTTACTTCCAAGTAAGTGTCTATAGCACTGTAGCCTCAAAAATGCTTGTCTGTATCTCTACAAGGTGGGCAGTCTGTGGTGATGACGGAAATATGTTCTGCCTCCACTGACTGAGGCATTATGCCTCTAAATGTCAGTTGCTGGGAATCACAAGTGGGCAGAGTACTCTTGTGCTTAGGTTCTGCTTATGGGCTGTGGGCCTGATCTAGCAGGCTCTTTCTTATGTTCTTAAGTAGCTGTGGAGATTTATACAAAATGTAGTTTCTTAGCAGTACAGTGGTACCTCTGGTTGCAATCAGGATCCATTCCGGAGCCCCATTCGCAACCTGTGATTTGCCCTGTCTGCACATGTGATTTGCCCTGTCGTGATTTGCCCTGTCTGCACATGTGTGAGTTGCAAAACCCGGAAGTAACCCTTTCCGGTACTTCTGGGTCGCCACGGGATGCAACCTGAAAACGCGCAACCTGAAGCAAACGTAACAAGAGGTATGACTGTAAATCCCTACAATTTATGTTCCTGCCAGTTAAAAACCACTTCAAGATGTTTGCTCTGTAACTGTTCTGCCATGTAGCCTGAGCTCTTGTTATGGCACACTGTGGTCTAGACTGTATGGGTTGGTTTGTGAGGGGCTGCTGGGTTGATGCCTCACATTATGCCTGTGTTTAATTTATTTCCTGTTCTGTTGAAAGCTAAAAATGCCAAAATAATAGCATCTTAATTTCCTGTGCGTGCGCGCGCGCGCGCACACACACACACACACACACACACACTATTCCCAGGGTGGATATATTCAGCTCACATATTCTGTTCAGATAAACAGCAAAACCATTTAATATTTACCTTTCCACAGGTCATTGAGCTGCTGGTTTGAGGGGCTTTTTTTCCTTTCAAATTTCCCGTTGGCTGATCAAAATACCTCCAGCACTGATACTGACAGCAGGCCAGACTTCAGAGGTGGAATATGAGGCAATGCACATTCCTTCGCTTTCACTCATCATGGACTGCTTCATGTGCAATGAGAAGCAAAGCAGAGCTAGCCAAGTGAGAACCTGTCTGCTTTTGCTCTCTGCTTCAGTGCTTCTTGTCTCAGTCTCTGAAAGTTATTCCCACTCTTGGCCTATCAAGGCTGAAGTGATCAAATAATAAAAGGTAAACCGTTAATCAAGTGACAGCGCAAAACCAAACAATAAGCCTGAAGGTTTTTTCCTCCACTCCTCTCTTTCTTCAAATATTTGTTTAATCAGATATTTGTTGAAAAGCTAATTTATTACTCACGCTGGAGACAAATAGCTTCTTCTATGTCTTATCAATTGTTTATTTTCCTGCAGGTCAGATGGCATATAACATAGCCATTTATGGGGAAGGGGGTGCTGCTTATATGGAACAGAAAAAATATGCATAGACCTTAACGTCTGAAATTACAAAACAAACAAACAAAAACCATATTTTGAAGAGAATCAGAATACCCCCATACACATACACACACACAATTGTAGCAGGTTTTCAGAATTGCAGGTACCTTAGCAAACATGACTAAGTTTGCACTATTATTGTTAAAGCTCCCCCTCAAGAAAAAAACCCAGCAACATTTCTTTGCAGTACAACTTAATAAAGCTGACAATGTTTGATAGGTTTTCCTGACCCTCTGAAGAAGATTATTGGTGGTTACAGGAGCTACAGAAGTGGTTAGGACATGAAGGAAAGGATCAGTTCTGCTGGTTGCTATATATTTGTGGGATTTCAAATCACTCAACCAGTCATTTTCCTTTTAAGAAAAGAAAAGACACTTTCCTACGCTGGCTTTTTGGTATCACTTTCCAAATCATTTAGGTTATCTGAAACACACCCATAGGAGATTAAGCACAGAAACATGAGAATGGGAACTCACTATGCAGAGTGCTTCTGAATCATGTACTGCTCCTGGCTGCACAAGGAACAGCAGTGGACCAGTGACACCTTTTGGCAGTTTAGGCTTATACGCCAATTGCACCCTTTGCTGGAGAAGGCCAACCTGACTGCAGTCAGATGTGCCCAGATTGAACTGCTGCAATGGGTTGTCCCTTGAAAAATGCTCAGAAACTCCAGTTGGTTCAAAATACAATACATTGCATGGACTCTCATCTCTATTGGCTGCCAGTCTATTCCCAAGGCCAACCAGAAGTCTTGGTGGTGTCTTTGACCATTAAAATATGCAACAATCTTGGATATCTGAAGGGATCACGCCTTCCTAAATGCACTCAGTCACACACTCTGCCCCTTATTGAGCAGCAGTGAATGGATGCGGATGGGTGAGCAGTTCTATATAGTCCAAGTGCTGCAGTTATGGAGTGTTCATGCAGTTTTATCACTTTTAAAGATCAGTTTTCCAGCTGATAATATTTTGTGCTATTTCCCCACTAAACTGAGAGATAATTCTGGCACTGAGTGTTGGCTCTTAATTAGTGTGTGTGTGTGTACACACACACACACACACGCACACACACACACACACACACCGTCAGACGAAAAGATAGATAATATTTTTTTATTAAAAAATTGTTGGCATTCACCATCGGGGATAAAGTCAAACCATCAGAGAGTTGCAATGTCTGCTGTGCCTATAGAGACCAATATGAGAGAAGCATGTTTTAGTGCAGGTGGGACAAAGGCTACTTGTTTTGCTGTTACACATGCACCATTTGTAATACATAAATGAATAAATAAGGAGACTTTATTATGTCAAAAATTATTGCACAAGTTCATCCTTGCATTGCAACCATGAATTTTACAACCAACATGCCAGGTAACCCCCAGTTGTGTCTGTTTTGTAATCTTCTATTGCTGTGTGAGTTACCCAGAGGAATATTGGTTTAGCGTTTGTTGTTTCGCTGCTAGCATTTCAAAAAATACATTTAGTCCTGCTTTGCATTTCCTTCTTTGAACCTATCATCTGGAATTTGTTAGTTCATTTAACTTAATTTTTCTTTATCTTCCCCATTTGTGTCCTCATCATGGCTCTCATTGCAAATATATCTGGATAATAGTATTGATATTGCTTATACTGCCCACATGCTGCATCTCCAATTTGTAATAGGGAAATCAACATCCACGGAAAGGCAGATGCTTTGCCACAGTTCTTTCATTCCTATGAAACAAAACCAACATTTTGTTGAGTATTGAAACAAAACAAAACAAAACCCTCCTTTCAAAAGTCTAACTGAACTTCATGGGCAAAGGTGGGGAGCTCTGCCATTCACAGAATAGAGGGAATACAAGAAGGCTGATCACCGAAGTATTGATGCTTTTGAATTATGGTGCTGGAGGAGACTCTTGAGAGTCCCATGGACTGCAAGAAGATCAAACCTATCCATTCTGAAGGAAATCAGCCCTGAGTGCTCACTGGAAGGACAGATCCTGAAGCTGAGGCTCCAATACTTTGGCCACCTCATGAGAAGAGAAGACTCCATGGAAAAGACCCTGATGTTGGGACCCTGATGCACAAGGAGAAGGAGACAACACAGGATGAGATGGTTGGACAGTGTTCTCGAAGCTACCAGCATGAGTTTGAGCAAACTGCGGGAGACAGTGGAAGACAGGAGTGCCTGGCGTGCTCTGGTCCATGGGGTCACGAAGAGTGGGATACGACTAAACGACTAAACAATGCCAATAGTCACTGAATGCAACCTGGATCACATCCACCATGCATTTAAAACACATTTAAATCTCATGGCTTCCCCCTAAGAATCCTGGGAACGAAAGTTTACTTTCACATAGCATTGTAAGAACACCAGAAGAGCCTGCTGGATCAGGCCAATAGCCCATCTAGCCCAGCATCCTGTTCTCACAGTGTTCAACCAGATGCCTGTGGGAAACCCAGAATACAAGCACAAGAGCTCTCTTCCCTCCTGAGGTGTCCAGCAACTGGTGTTGAGAAGCATTATTGCCTCTGACTGTGGAGGCAGAGCATAGCCCTTATGGCTAATAGCTGCCAATAGCCTTCTCCTTCCTGAGCTCCAATTCCAATCCCCTATGGCCCTTCATTTGTCAATAACAGCAAAGCTTAAACCTGGTAGAGGGCCTTTTTATGTGATCTTCCGTATGCATCCCAGCAAAACAGCATAGGTTAGCATGCCTTTGAAACACAGATGTAAGGCTGAATAAAATAAATTGAAAAGCTTGAAAGAGAACACCATTTATCTATTTATGGCATTTATACCTAGCCTTTGGCCGATTATGTTCTAAGAGCAGTTTAAAAAAAACTAGAATTAAGATCACTCTTGTTCTCAGGCTGACAATCTGAAAAGACACAACACGTAAGGAAAAAGAGAGGGGAAGGAGGTGGGGAAAACAAGCTCAATGATACTGCAAGCTACCCTGTGATTCTTAGATGAAGGGTGGTATCAAAATTTCATAAACAACAACAATACAGTGCCTTTTTGCATGAAAACCAGATTTCCTTTTTTAAAAAACAAACAAACTGATCATTTCAAATGCTGCTTATTTATCATTATTATTTTTATTTAATGCAAAGTTGTTGCATTAAAGGTAGCAACAAATTGTTCAGAGTAAATACTACTTCTGGTGAAATTATAAACAGGAGGGTAAATAGGAATGCAAATTCTGTGAAGTCAGAATGTGTTTGAATAGTGTGCCACAACTCTTAATTTATCCATGACCTCTGATCACATTACACTTTCCAGATTACATTAGAGACAGCGTCCTGGGAAACAAAAGCCATCTTTCATCTTCAAAGGGCAGATTGAGAATACTAATTTGATTGCCTTGGCTACAACTCTCTCTCCCAGTTGGGAAAGTTAACAAATCAAATCAACAACACATAGTTCAGTCAAAGGAAGAGAAGAAGCTGTTTTTGAAACAACAAAAATTCAATACAGCATCCTTGATGGGTCTCTATCTTTATACTTTTGCACTTTGTTGAAATAAGTATATATGCATACCAAGTAATATGTGTTTCCATCTTAGCTGCCTGTAGCTGAAAGATTTTATGATAAGTAGAGTGTTATTTGTGCTGTTTTACGAGATAAATTATGTATGGTTTTGCACTTGCTACTGACACTTCCTATAAACTAGGGGGAGCAGCTTAATGGACTACAGCCCATAAATATTGTACCATTCAAATCCACAATGACAAAAGGTTTACTGCTAAATAGTGTGCTTCTCAAAACGCCGCACTTCAGCTAATAGAATAAATTCAGAGGACATGTCATTTGCACCTGTTTACAATGGGAAAAGCTGCTTAATGCAAAGAGTAAGGTTATTTATACTTTCCATAACTTAAAACTTGTCATTCAAGGACTGAGCCCGAGATCAGCAGTGGAGGAGCACAAATGGAACCAAGCACTTTGATATATAGTAATTGTTAGGAATTTTTATATGATAGCTTTATAACTATACTTTCCTGGAGTGATGTAATGATTCTAATACTACTTTTATTTAAATTACTTTTATTTAAACCTAGAATTTGGTTGAAAGCCGTTTCAGTTGGGTTGTGTCGAAAAGTTGCAGTGTCTGCGTAGGAATACTCATAGAAGAAGATGAGGTAGTAATTATTGATCATAGAATCAGAAAATGGTAGAGTTGGACAGTGGAACGGTCTCCCTTAGGAGGTTGTGGACTCTCCTTCCTTAGAGGATTTTAAGCAGAGGTTAGATGGCTGTCTGTCATGAATGATTTAGTTGAGATTCCTGAATTGCAGGGGGTTGGGCTGGATGACCCTTGGGAAACCTTCCAACTCGACCATTCTATGATTCTAGGAAATATATTTTGGCATGGTACATAAATTAAATGTGCATTGGAAGGCTCTTCCACTTGAAACAAAACACTCATTTCTAAGGCTGTGGTTTATAAGAATGCAC